CTCAAAACCCCTCAAGCTGAATGTCCCTCCCTTCTACTTCCCATGTGTCTCTCTATCCATCCTCCTGACTTCCTTTTATTCTCTATGTTTTCTCCCTGTGTTAACTGGTTGCTTGCTCTGCCTCTTGACCTATGGTTAACTTTATTTCATCCTGTTCAGGCAGAAAGCTCTTGGATTAAAGATGTGTGGTAGGGCTGAGCCACACCACAACTAGAAAGTTTTTTTTTTCCCAGTAAACAACACAATCTCAGTGTGGGGGTCACACTGTGATCAAATATCCTGTAACACAGTGCTGTGGGTAGAGAGAGGAGGGTTGGTGGAACATCCTGGCAGCTAGCCTAAGCTCTCTTAGACAGACACCCTGTCTCAGGAGAACACGGTGGAGAGCAATTCAGCAGGACGTCCCAGCATCAACCCTCTGGCCTCCATGAGCACCTGAGTGTGTACATGCCACATCCATGTACACCACACATAAACACACACAGAAAAACAATAACTAAAGGCTAAGGATTAGCTCAGTAATAGAATGCTTGGTCAGCACAATTTTGTTGACCCACGCAAAACAAATTCACATAGGAAAATTTTCAAGAGAGCCTTTGTTTGATTTCTAGATACCAGAATCCACTAGCCTGCTCTGAAATCTCTCAAGGATTGAATTTGTCCTTATCCACAATACATTTGTGTGCCAACAAAGAGCTAGTCTATTCTTTACCTACCTAAGTGAGTATGCGGGGTTGTCATAGTCAGAACTTATAAAATGGCCCCTCTCTTTCTATAGATTTATATAAAGGATTTGTTAGGATGACTTACAGGCATGGTCCGGCTAATCCAACAATGGCTGGCTGTGAATGGAAAGCTCAAGAATCCAGTGGTTGTTCAGTTCACAAGGCTGGATGTCTCAGCTGGTCTTCAGTAGTCACTGGAATCTGAAGAAGTAGGCTCTTATGCCAGAGGGGGAAAAATGGACTTGCTAGCAAGGCAAAGAACAAGCAGACAAAGAGCAAAGAGCAAAAGCTTCCTTCTTCCATCGCCTTATATAGGCTCCTAGCAGAAAGTGTAGTCCAGATTGGAGGGAGTTCTTCCCAGCTCAAGAGATCTGGGTTAAAGGCGTGTGTTCATACCCTAAAGATCCAGATGAGAAGTGGATCTCCCTACATCAAATTAAGCTAAAAATCCCTCAAGGTGTGCCCTCCATTTCTGGGTTTTAGTTAATTCCAGGTGTTGACAACCAAGAATTGCCATCACAAGTGTTAAAGATAGGATTTATTTGTTTGTTTGTTTAGACACAGTATCTCACTATGTACCCTGGACTGGTTTTGCTGTGATGACAGGTTTAGACCTGAGCTATGGGCAGCTTAAAGGTTTATTAATTGGTTGATTTCTCTTTGTCTGCTTGTTTTGTTCCCCAGAAGGGGTCTCACTGTGTAGCTTTAGTTGTCCTGAAACTCATTATGTAAACCAGGCTGGCATCAAACTCACAGATATCCACCTGCCTCTGCCTCCTGAGTGCTCAGAATAAAGGTGTATGCCACCATGCCCAGCAAGAAATTTTTTGGAAGTGTTTTCAGATTCTTCTCTCCCTTCCTCCCTCCCTCCCTCCCTTTCTCTCTTTCTCTCTCTTTCTTTCTTTCCTGTCAGTAGCACCAGGAGCTTATTGAATCAGCACATGTGATCCCATCAGACTCTGAATGATGTCTCTTCCCCAGGGTTTGCCCTTCTGCCAGTGTTTCCAGGGCTATTATTTGCAGTGCTGGGAATTGAACTCAGGGGTTTCCATATGCTAAGTATTTTCTCTCTCTGCCACTGAGCCACATCCCCAGCTCAAGAATGTTCTTCTCTTCCCCTTCTCCCATGTTTTATATGTGTATTCTTACACATTTTGCATGTCTGTAGGCATGTGTATACATATTCAAGCCTGTGGAGGCCTCAGGTTAATATTGAGACTCACCCTTGATTGCTCTTTCATCTTAGTTCACAGAGGCAGGGTCTCTCAGTCCTACCAAAGGCTCTCTGGCCAGCTTGCTCTGGAATCCACTGTCTCTGCTTTCCAAAGCTGGAATAACAGACATCTCAGCCACCACCCACACCCTCTCTTTTGAGATAGGCCTGCCTGTGTAACGAAGACTCACCCAAGGACATGCCTGAGTCACAGCTCCCCTGATGCCTGACAGCCCAGGAGTGGCTCTCAGTAGCTTTACAACTTTTTCAAGAACCTCAGTTCCCTCTCTTTGAAGATTTCTCTCCAGTCATCCCCCATCTGATTTTCGCTTACTTGCTTTTCAGAGACAGGCCTCTGTGGGACCTCAGCCTGGCTCATGTCATGGCACCGATGGGAACAACTCTTATTTTTCTCTCTGAATGTCACTTCCCTTGAGCTAGCAGGGCCTGCCCACATCTCACAGGTCTGCCTCCCTTTGAGCTTCTGTTTTGTGAAATGGGACGGCATGGTCTGTGAGGTAACAGGAAAACAGCCACAACCGTACAACACCCAGCAGTAAATGTCTAAGATCAGCAACGGTTTACCACCCACAGGTACTACAGCTCTGGCAAGGACGGCTCAGGGAGGAGGCCACCACATGCCATCAGCGTCACATGGGCTTTTACTCAAAGCAGGTTAATGAGACACTGACTTTGCAGTGTCAGGAGGTTAAAGAGCTGTTCCAGTTTCATTCTGTTGCTGTGATAAAACACTCTTGCCCAAAAGCATCGTAGGAAGGAAAGCCTTCAATTTGGCTTACGCTTCCAGGTCATGGTCCATCAAAACGGGTGTCAGAGAAGGAACCTTCATAGGAACCATGGAGGCACACTGCTTGCTGGCTTGCTTTCTGGCTCACACATCCACAGGCTCGTGCTTGGTTAGCTGTCTTGTCAAGCCCGGGGCCAGCTGCCAAGGGCTTGTGCTGCCCCGGTGGGCTGGAGCCTCCCCACATGGACTAGCAACCCAAACTACCCCCCACCCAAACACACACACACACACACACACACCCACACACACACACACAGACACAGGCAGACACAGACACACACAGACACACAGACACAGACACACACACACAGACACACAGACACACACACAGACACATACAGACAGACACACAGACATAGACACACAGACACATACACAGAGACACACACACAGACACACACTCAAACACACACACAGAGACATACACACAGAGACGCACACACACACACTCACACACACACACACACACTTAGACACACACACAGACACATACTCAGATACACACACACACTCAGACACACACACACACACACACACACACACACACACACACACACACACACTCCAACACGCCAGTCTAGTCCAGTTCTGGATTGAGGCTTTCCTCTCAAATGACTTTTTGCTGTGTCAGCTTGACAGTTGATGCTAACTAGAACAAGAGACCCAATTCTGAGGGAGAATGAGATTGGCCTCTTTGGACAAATTCATCAGAGAACAGGAATATGTCATCTGTTGGATGAGGGAAGGTATTTGGCCAGAAGACCTTTCTGAGGGGGCTGAGGAGGTCCAGTGGTTAGGTAGTTTTCAGGTACCCTAATTTTACCAGTATGAAGACAGCTAACCATAACAGTGTCCTGGCTAACCTTTGACATTGTGACACCATTGTCAACTAAAAAATCCACATTGAGAACCATGCAATCAAATTACAATAAATAAACAACACCTCCAAACCTCAATGTTTTCATTAAGCTCACAGTTCAGTCAGTGTTGGACCGCATTCAGGGCTCTCCTGGGGCAGGTAGAGGCCATGGACAGGACACTGGCAGGGGACTGTTTCAGACCTTCACACAGGGATGCACCGGTGGCTCCATTGCCCACTCTTCATTCTTCCGCTTGATGCACACGTCTGTCCCGGCCTGAAACCCAGTCTCCTCCCCAGCCTGGGATGGGAAGTCTCTGAAATCAAAGCACACCAGAGCTGCCCCTCCTTTTCTCTCCCTGCCGGCCTTTTGTGACTTTCTGAGGGGAGGAAGGCAAGGAGAGGAAAAAGTTTCATAGCAGGGAAAGGCTGAAATAAAAATTAAAGCCATCCTACTATCAATTGTATTTTGTACATAGAGATTTTTTTTTCTTTCAGTACTAAGTCTCAAACCTGGGGCCTCATACACACAAGACAAGTTCTTTCAATAAGCTCTAGATTCAGCTTCAGTTTTTTTTTTTTTTTTTTTTTTTTTTTTTTTGTATATGTGTTGAGATAGGGTCTCACTATGTCCCCCTGGCTGGCCTGGAATTTTCTTTTTTGGTAGGGGAGCTGTTTTCAAGACAGGGTTTCTCTGTGTAACCTTGGCTGTCCTGGACTTACTCTGTAGACCAGGCTGGCCTCGAACTCACAGAGATCTGCCTGCCTGTCTCCCGGGTGTTGGGATTACAGGCGTGTGCCACCTCACCTGGCTGGAATTTTCTATGTAGATCAGGCCAGCCTCAAACTCAGAGATCCGCCTGCCTCTGTCTCCCAGTGCTGGGAGGTGTGTGCCGCCGTGCACGGCTCAGAGTGAGCTTTTACATATTAAATGCGGTCTTAGCAGGTTCCTGCTTAAAACCCTGGCTACCTGACCACTGACTGTGGCTCTTTGTCAGGCTTGTGACAAGCCTTTTGGACATGTGCGGTGGTTACCACCTGGAATGCTCTACCTTGCTCCACTTAGAATTCTAGCTACCTAGGAGTTCCTCTGCATATTTTATCGAAGTTGTTCCTTCCTTGGGTAGACCTGCTCTGATCTTCCCACAGAAGTCAAATTCTCCCGTTAAAGGGCCTCAGAGCATCACTTCTTCAACATGACACACATCACAGGTGGCAAGTTTTCACTGCTCAAATCATTTGATTACTATGTGTATCATATATCTCCATGGGAGGAGTAACCTCACCAGTCACCAGGAAAGTGAATGAATTCATTGAGATTTGAGACTCTTCTGGGGAAAAAAAAAAAAAAGGAATCAAAGATAATTTAATTCAATTTTTATTATTAAAACAGTTAAGAAAAAAACCTTACATTGCCAACCTGAAATTAGAAAGAGTTTAGGAGATGATTCCCTTTTAAGAGAGAAAGGAAATCCACCCTGAGTTCTGAGCAGGTGCTGAATACTGGCGCCGGTAACAGCAAGGAACCTGAGCCTCGGACCACGGCGTCCGCTATGCAGTAGACGGACATAGAGATGCGAATATCATGCTGCTGCAAAAAGTGTCATTTTATACACAAAGCAGCATGTCACCCTCCCGACAGCACCAATGGCCATGGCCAAAGGAAATGCTAGAAGGACCCAGGGATCATTCACTACCTGAGGCCTCAACAAGGTGACGTAAGTACACTAGGAAGGAGGCATCAAAGATAAAGGAATAAAGACTCTGCGGCCACAGGAAAGAAAGCCTGTAGCTCTTACGTGGAATTCTTGGAGTAAAAAGTTCAACTCTGAAGTCAAATATAATCCACATTTAAAAAATATCTCCAAGCCAGGTGGTGGTGGTGCAGGCCCTTAATCCCAGCACTTGGGAGGCAGAAACAGGCAGGTCTCTGAGTCTGAGGCCAGCCTGATGTACAGAGTGAATTCCAGGACAGCCAGGGCTACACAGGGAAACCCTGACTCAAAAACAATCTCCCAAAAGATAATAAAAATGGAAATCAAAGCTGGTGTAATTATTGATTCCTGAGTTTAAGGCTAGATAAAACTCTGGGCTTAAAAAGAAAAAGTGGTTTTATCCATGTCGTTTTATCCATGCAGTAGAAGTCTTCTGTTTTTAAACCTTGGAGTCACTTGGGGGGGGGGTGTACACATGCCAGTGCTCTCCCGTGGAGGTCAGAGGACAACTTGTAGGCGTCAGTTCTCCTTTCCACCATGTGGGTCCCGAGGAATAAACTTGGTCACCCATCATGCTTGTCAGCAAGTACCGTTATTCACTGAGCCATCTCAGCCCCGCCTACGCTTTCAACATTCAGCTTTGCTTCTAGCTTTCAGAAGTCTCAAAATAGCAAGTCTCAGGGCAGATTTGAAAGTCTCAGGCCATCAGCCACAGTATCCCACAGCCCTCATAGTCTCTATTCTGTTAGAAACAAGTCACTGTGTCTAGAAAAAAGAAATCTTAAAGCAGGGCCCCAAAACTGTGACTATCCACTCTTACATGCTTAGCAGATAGAGAAAACAGTGAAGGGTGCTAGCTTTCCATAAAAAGTAAACTTATTGTATTTATTATTAGTGTGCATGAGGCATATATGAGGGCAGAGAACAACTTTTGGGAGTTGGTTCTCCACCTCTACCTTGGACTTCAAAGTCATCAGATTGAATGGCAAGCTCTTTACCTCCAAGCCACCTTGACAGATGCCGTCCAGTCATTACGTGGAAGCTGTGATCTCAAATTTTTCATGCTTGTGTAAAAAAAAAAAATGCTCTTTTATCCACTGACCCATCTCTCTAGTCCCTCTTCCCCCCTCTTTTTAATTATCACAGTTATGATTTTTTTAAGTTGGTTTCAAAGCTGGAGAGTTAGCTCAGTAGTTAAGAGCATTTGTTGCTCTTGCAGAGGGCTCAAGTTCAGTTCCCAGCACCCTCATGGTGGCGTGTAACCATCTGAGATCCCAGTTCCAGGGGATCTGACACCCTTGTCTGACCCCCACAGGCACCAGGCAAGCACATGGTGCACAGACATACATGCAGGCAAAACACTCAAACATGAAAAAAAAAATCTTAAAAACACCCCCCCCCCCGCATTCTTGCAATGTAGCTCAGGATGCCCTAGAACACCTAACCTTCCTGTCAGCCTCCTGAGTTCTGGGGTCACTCCACACCTGACAGCTTGGGCCACACCTGGCAGCTTGGGCTGATTTTTATTTATTTATTACGTGTACAGTGTTCTGCCTGCATGTACACCTGCAGGCCAGAAGAGGGCACCAGATCTCATTATAGATGGTTATGAGCCACCATGTGGTTGCTGAGAATTGAACTTGGGACCTCTGGAAGAGCAGCCAGTGCTCCTAACCTTTAGCTCCTTGAGCTGCTTTTTTATAGTAGCATTCTTACTGCCTCAGCATGCACTGACTGTAAAGTCCAGGATGTCAAAGGCACAGAGGCATCTTTTACTGGTTTGTGACTTTGGTAGACTCTTGGAACCATACGGTAGCAATGGGGCATGACTGTATGTTGCATGTAGTTAGATCTGATGGTTTTAGGGCAGCTTTAATGCCACCTCTTACAACTGCCCAATGGAGTGCTGCATTTTGTCGTGACTCCGGGCCTCAGTCAGCATGTCTTGCCCTAGGTGCCTGTTGCTGTGTGCCAACCTCCCTTCCCAGATGTAATGATTTAAGACAGAGAGCAGTCGTCTGGGTTGCTGGGCAGTTTGCCCTTGGCCTGTCTCCTGCAGTTTCGGTCACGTGTTAGTAGGGTCTGGAACCACCTGAAGGCAGCAGCTTCTCTCCCCCCTGTGGTGACAGGACTTAGAGGTGATGACCTGGCATGGGATGGGACTTCTTCCTGGGGCTGCTTGGGCTCCCTCACGGCAGAGAAGCCTCATATAGCCAGACTCTTAGCTTGGGCTGGCTCCCTCTCAGCAAGCGATCCAAGGGCAGGGAGTAGAAGCTATTAGCCGCTTAAAACAAGGTCCTGAAATCGATGCAGCCTCACATCCACTACTGGACACAGCACCAGAGCTGCCCATAACGGGAAGGGGAAACAACACCTTTGGGTCTTGAGAGTTGGTGTGGGGGAGTGCCAAGATCTGTGGCCATATTTAATCTCTCAGAGCATCCTCAAATCCCAAAGGGTTTGTTTTTAGGGTTGGACCTTTGCATCCATGCAACTATGTAAACATTTATGAGAGAGACCACCTACAACCATTTCAGTCTTTTCTCAGGCGAGTTCAGATAAAGTAGTTGGGAAATGAGGAGCCTAAGTACACATTAAGAGCCCAGGGTGGAACAGCAGCCCAGGGACAGACTCCAGGCTCAGGTCTGCAACTGCTTCTCATCCACGCAGGGAGGGTTTGTGTGCTTGTGGATTGGTTTAATCGGGTCTTCAGCACACAAAGAGCTCCCCAGGGAGGAAAACTGAGTTCCCTCTGGCTGCAAATGCGTCTCTAGGTCTTTAGAAGGGAAGCTGTGCTATAAGCCGCTGTAATGTGGCAGCCAGGCTATCAGTAGGGGTACTTGAAGCCACTGTACTGCCCCTCAGTCTTAGGGAACGCCTTCCGGATCCGCCAGCGGCAGCAGCTGGGCAGGATGGCAAAGTCAGCCAGATCTTGGGAGCCGAAGCGCCAGATGGTGTAGCACCGATAAGCACAGTGTCGCAGCCTGCGGTTGGCGGCCTCTTCCTCCAGCACCAGCAAGGGCTCCTGGTAGAGCAGGAGGAGCTGCAGGGCTTGCCTGGACAGCACGAGCTTCCGGAAGAGCTCCGAGGTGGTGATGCAGGGCCCTGGTGCCCTCCGGCAGCACAGCTCCTCCAGGGCCCTGCGATTCTCCGGCAGCCGCGAAGGGAGGCAGTTTCCACACTGGCACCAGCCCGGGCTGGGCCCGGACCTGGGGGGTGCCTCTTTACACAGCAGCTGCACTTCCTCAGGTTGTCCAGGAGCAGGGGGCGAGTTGTGGAGAAATAGGGACAGCCTAGACAGGTCCGTGAAGTCCATCTGCGGCCTCTGAAAAAGTGAAGTTTCCAGACCCATCAGTAACAATAATCCTTCAGTCTATCAACGTATGAACTCGCACTCAGTGTCACAGTGACTGGAGCAGCTATCACTTATCAAACATCTGTCTCAGGGCAGGCCGCTGTTAAGCCTGTTAAGAGCCTCTGGTAGTACAGATGCTTGTCTCCACTTTACATACTTGGAAAGTGAAGTTGAGAAAAGCCAAGTATCAACTGGGACATGGCCTCTTGCCCTGGTGGCCTTTCGAGGGTGTCTCTCCTCCTGGGTGATTCTCCCGTCACATAAAGGTAGTGGACTGGCTCCTTCTTTATGACTAGCCCCCTTCTGAAAAGATCTAACTAGTTAGTATGACTCTTTGTGACTGTGGTCTCCATGGGAAAGCAGGGGCCCTGTTATTTTCTGCATTTTCCTGGTGCCTGGGACAGTGCTCAGTACACAGTAGAGAGTAAACATTTGTTGACTCATTCCTACTCTCTCTAGGCCTGCCAGACTCTCTCTACTGGCAAAACTATTTTTATATTCCAAATAATTGCCAGAATTGCCATGCCTAGCCTTTGTGGCATATGCCTTTATTCACTGGATGAAGAGCTAAGTCAAGCACACTCAGACTGAAGAGTTCATGTATGTGCATGGTCTTAGCAGCATTATTCATAATAGCTGAAAGGCTGAACCAGCCCCAGTATCTATCAGCTAATGGGTGGATAAGCAAAACCTGATCTATCCGGTAGCCTGTCTATCCAGGAATACTACTGCGCCAAAAAGCAGGCTGAAACAGTGGCACACACAGCAACACAGACGCAACATGCAACATTGAAAACACAGTGCTAAGTGAAAGAAGCAATACAAAGTATCACACAGTGCATGACCCACCTTGTGCAGAGTTTCTAGAATAGACTGGCCAAGAGGAAGTAGGTGAGTAGTTAACAGGGGTGACTGGGAATGGGAAGAGGCTGCTTGACAGAGATGGGGTTTCTTTCTGAGAAGATTCGAGAGCTCTGGGGTTGGTGGCATTGACTGAATAGCATTGTAATATATGGAACATTTTATATTCCATAAAATGGCAAATGTTTAAAGTCTCAAAGGAAGAACCTTTTTTTTCTTCCAGACAGTTTCCTGTGCCCCAGGTTGACCCCAAACACTACAACACTGCATAAGCCTTGCCTTGAACTCCTGATATTCCTGCCTGTTCCTCACAAATGCCATTACAGATATGCATCACTACCCAGCTAAATAGTTAATTTTTTACCCATATTCCACAAGGACACTACAAGAAAGAAAAACTTTGATCAATTGCTTCCCAAGATGAGATATAAAAATCCTACATATTTAAAGCTGAGCCTGGTGGCACATCACTCTGAGAAGCTGAGGCAGGAGGATCTCTGTGAGTTTGAGGCGAGCCTGGTCTACAAAGTGAGTACAGGACAACCAAGGCTACACAGAGAAACCCTGTCTCAAATAAAACAAAAAAATAAACCAAAAAATCTTTAATGAGATCCACTAATAAGTACGAACGACAGCGCATCACTTTAAGGTGGAAGGCTGTAGGGTAAGGAGATGGCTCAGTCTCTCTATGCTTGTCATGCAAGCAGAAGGACCTGTGTTAGGTCCCACGCCAGGCTTAGTGCACCCCAAGTTGCAGTGCCAAGGACACAGGCAGGAGGATCCCTGGAGCTCTCTGGCCAGCAGTCTAGCAGAATTAGTGAGCTTCAGGTTCTGAGAGACTCTGTCTCAAAACAATACTGTGGAGAGCGATTGAGGAAGACAAGTAGTATCAACTTCTGGCATGCACTTAATACTCGCATACCCATGCATTCACGTGAACACACACACAACACACATACCTAAATCCCAATAAGTTAGTAAGTCATTAAGTCCCAGCAGCCTAGGAAGTTGAGGATCATCATTTGTGCTGTCTCTGGCAATTCACCAAGACTTTGTACCAAAATTACACGGGCAGAGGTGACTCAGTCATACCACATTTGCCTATGATATGCAAAGACTGAGACTCAAACCGCAGTATTCTCCAACTTAGATCAATCGTTGAAACTCACCACATAACAGGAAAAAGAAAACCTCACAGATTATTTCAAAAAAAGTAGGAAAAAAAATTTAAATCCCGTATCCATTCATGATAAAAATTTCTCACAAGCTAGGAACAAAAGGGAATTTTCTTGAATCTGATACCACCTTCTTAAGAGCTCACCAAAAACCTTTGCAGAAAATGAACTAGCCAAGCTGAAAGGGTTAGACTAACTTTGTAACCTGTATGTCTTCTAAAGCCTATGGTTTTGAGTTTTAGGTCCAGGTTAAGCTAAAGCCTCTTAGTACCTTTCCAGAGAATGGAGAAATGTGACCCTATCTATGAGGACAGATAGAAAAAAAGCAAGCAAGCAATGACCTTCACTCAGCAAAAAGAACGACCAGACCTTTGTCTTCAAATAGTGTTTCTTAGCAACGAACCCAGACTTCTTCTGAGTAGATTTTAACCTCCAGCCAAGAGCCCGCAGCCCTAAGTTTCAAGGATGAGCTAACTGCCCCCACCTTTAATTGCAGCTGCGTCCACACTTGGCAGGACTGGCCAAGCTTGAGCACCTAAGACTAACCAATTATCTTACTTTATAGCCTCCTCATCCAATCCTAAATTGCCAAAACTGCAACTTCAAATCTCCCGCAGTTTTTCTTTTAAAAACCTAAAGGCCTTTGTCTCCCGGTGCCACTCTTTGCTGACTGGCAGGGGTGACCCCATTGCGCAATGGTTAATAAACCTCTTGCTTTTGCAACGAGTCATGGTCTGGGGGAGTTTCTGGGAAGGGCGCGATCTTGAACTCCTGAGTTGTGAGACCCCAGGTCTTACAAAGCTGTGTACTGAGGCAGAAAATGAGGTGGAGGCCTGTGCTTTCCACACTGGTGTGGTGGCCAGCCTGCTGAGGTCTAGCCAGTGCTGGGACTGGCTCCAGGATTCTCCCCTGAGGTCTCCATTGGGAACCAATGCCCTGCTAAGACCTTAACTTCAGCCGTTCACCCTCCAGACTAGCAGAGTAAACCTGCTGTTGTAAGCTACCTAAATTATGGTCACTGGTTATGGCCACAGGAAATCAATCCAGCTGGCAAAGGTGCCCAAGGACCGGAACTGCAGGGGAGCACAAATGAACAGGAGCCGCTTTGACGCTGTGTGCTGCTATCTGCTAACACTGACTCTCAGTTGATCATCCTGAGAATGCTGTGTTTGTCAGCATGGCATGACTGGCGTTTGCTCCCATGCTAGAAACTTCCCAAATGACCTTGCGTGCTGAAATGGGTAAATAAACTGAAAGTTTGCAAAGCAGAAGCCACACAAACACGAGGATGAGCTGTCACCGTGTGCAGAGTCAGGTAACTCACTAATGATGAGCGGCGGGAGGCAGACTCGGGACAGAGCATGCGGAGTCTTTACAGCTCAGTCTCTTTTGCAACAGGGTCTCACTGGGTTTCCCAGCCTGGCCTGAACTCTGGGTCCAAGCGATCCCCCTGCCTCAGCCTCTCGAGTGCTGTAGTGCCAGGTGTACAGACAGCTTGTACCTAGAGTGTACAGTTCAATTTTTATAAAATTCTAGAATCAACAAAAAGAATCCTCAAGCTGGTGTGGCGGCACACACCTTTAACCCCAGCCCTGGGGGAATCAGAAGCAGGTAGATCTCTATGAGTTCTAGGCCAGCCTGGTCTCAGAAGAGTGCCAGTCCATCCAAGGCTACCTGATGAACAACAAGAGAAACCAAAAGCCTAATCCTTAGATGCAGAATCTCTGGATGTATAAAATGTCCTCCTCGCAGCACTTCGGAGGCAGGGGCAGGTGGATCTTTGGGCTCGAGGCCAGCCTTCTACACAGTGAGTCCCAAGATAGCCAGGGCTACACAGAGAAACCCTATCTCAACAAACAAACAAACAAACAAACCAAATTCCACCTGCAAAAAAAAGAGAAAACAACAAACAAACAAAAAACCTACCTCTAATATGAACTACACCCTTAGCCCAAAACATCTAATTTTGAATCATCTTTATTAGATTTGTGTTTCTTGTATGCAAGTGTATCACAGCAAATGCGGGGAGATCAGAGACTAACTTGCTGCAATTTGTTTTTCCCTCCCCATGTGGGTCCTAGGGATCCAGCTCAGGTCATCAGGCTTGGCAGCAAGTGCCCTCACCCCTTGAGCCATCCCACCAGCGCCCAAACAACGAATTTTTCAATCTAGGTGCTGGTTCCACGATCCTGTTTACTTTGCTAAAATTCATCAGTTGTGATTTATATAAATATCTACACGTATTTATATTTAAGAGCAAAATCTCCTAAAATAAATAAATAAATAAAACCCCAACCTTTTCACTTACCAGAACTTCTTGGCCTTTGACAAGTTGCAGACTTTTCCCGAGCAGCTGCTTGTCTACAATCCGAATGTGGGGCTCGTCCACAAAGGACACATACTTTAAGGTCTAGGAAAAGAAGGTTAAAAAGTCTGTTTCCGTACAGAAGTTTCAAGAGTTGCCGCTTCAGACATATGTGAACACATCTGCTAACCACATCTACCACATGACAAAGCAAGCTACAGACCCAAAGGGAAGCCAGACAGAGCCCCAAGCACCCTGACAGGGAGAGCTGTCCTGGCCATAATCCAGGGAGGCCAAAGCACAGCGCAACACCTGTGCTTAGCTCTCCTCAGGACAGTCTCCCTGGATGCAGCCTCTTGAGGGCTTTGGTGGTGCCCCTAACTTGTTCACCTATTTGCTAAATTTCACTCATCCAGGCAGGGCCATTTTAGTTACAAAGGTGAACTAATCTTCCTCTACCTCTTCCCTTTCTTCCTTCTCTTTTTCCTTCTTTCCTACTCTGCCACCTCTCCTCTCTTTCTTCCTTCTTTCTTTTCTTTTTTTCCTTTCTTCCACCTCCTCTTTTTTTTTTTAGATAGAGCTTCTCTTTATACGCTTAGCTGTTTAGGAACTCACTCTCTAGGCCAGACTAGCCTCAAACTCAGAGAGTTATTTTCTTTTTTGAGGCAGGGTCTTATTCTCCAGTCTGGGCTAGCCTCAAACACTCAGCACCCACCTGCCACAGTCTACCTGCTGTGGGGATTGCAAGCCAACGTCACACGCTGTGCTTGGCTGAACTTCTGCTTCCATCAGGAACACGAGAACAATGGACAATAAACAATGAACTGTACATTCAGCTGCTGGAAAAGGACAGTGATGTGCCCAGAGAAGGGAGAACAAAGTAACCCTCTTTGTTTTCAAGGAACCAGTGGTTTCTCTGGGGGATCCTGAAGTAAGAGGAGTGGAGCTGCCTCACAAAGTCCAAATTTAAAAAATGAAAACAATATGTATGTGCCTATTCCCTACTTTAGGCTATTTGCCAGCCCAACCAGCAACCACCATGGCTAGAATTCTTGTGTGTTCATCCAGGACCCACATATGCACATAAACATATATGTGTGTGAAATGTACATATAGAAAATGTATAGAAGTGGATTATGCGTACCCTTGTCTTTTAACCTATAAACTGTGACATGTGGTTCTTTTATTTATTTTTTTCCCTCTAAACAGAAAACATCTTGGATATTTGCTCATGCTATTTGTACCTGAATGCTTCTGACAGGTTCTGAGGCCAGCCAGCCTGAGATGGAGTCTCAGCGCTACCATTTACTCTCTGTATGACTTTGGGCAAAGCAGTGTTAAATCTCAATCTCTCCCCTACCCGCATCTCTATTTCTCACTCCGTGTGTGTGTGTCTTTGAGACAAGGTCTTACTCTGTAGCCTAGGCTAGCCCTGAACTCAAGGCAGTCCACCTCCCTTAGCATCTCCAGTGCTGGGATGACAGGCAGGAGCCACCACATCCAAGTCTCTAGTTTGCTATTTGCAACAAGGTCTCCAGGCCGACCTGGCTCTCACAGTGTTCTTGCCTTAGCCTCCTGAGGGGCTGCAGGGGTGTGCTGCCATGCCTGCTTCCTGTGTACTTCATTCTTTCTAGTGGGACACACACACACACACAGTAACCAAAGGCTTTCTTTTCTTGCTTGCTATTAGTTACCCAAGTGGTGACTAGCATTGTTTACTATAGATTTTTTCATGGCATCTTTCACTGTTCACACAGTGGACATTTGGGGTAGATGGTTTTTTTTTTTTTTTTTTTTTTTTGTCCCCTGTTAAGTATTTTTTTATTTATCTATTTTGCAAAACTGGGTGTGGAACTCAGGCCTCACCCATGCTGAGAAATGCTCTATTACTGAACTATTCCCTGATCCTCATTCATTATTAGCAATTTAACAAAAATCTAGTGAATGTCCTGAACGCATTGTATACTGTGTGTGTGTCTTGTGTGAAAAGTATGGAGAAATGGAAAAGAAAAACAGGATGTAAAATACTCTGATTTATATATTATTAGTTACTGCCCAATGGCTGGTTCTCTGAAGCCATTGTGCTGTATGGGGACAGGGAAGGGCTGTGCCAATGTAACAAATGACAAAAATGTAACAGAAAAATTGTCTTCTCAACAAAGTGAACATCTCCATTTTTTGCATCTCTTTCTCAAAACCAAAGGGCTCATCAGAAGGACAGTTATTTGGGCTTGTCAAGGAACTTACCCACCAAGGGATCAAACCTGGACAGTGGCCTATTTTTTTCCCCACACACTTTTTAGCCTAGCAGAATCTGTGTGTGTTTGGGTGTCTGGCGGAAGCAGCATGCCTTACCGGCTTGGGCTCCGTGACGGACTCGCACTTCTTCCCGTAGTAGTACTCGTTGACTGCACAGAACTCACAGCACTTACAATAGGGGTAGACGCTGGACCTGCAGAAGGTGCTTGAGTATGTGGTGATGAGGAAGTCAATGAACACAGTGGCCTGTGGAAATGTGAACAGCACGCCCGTGACTCCTCTCGCCAAGTCATTTCCCTTGTTGCTTTTGTTGCTATTGTGTTTCTGAGACAGGGTCTCACCATGTAGACCAGGCTGGCCTCCGACTCACAGAGATCTGCCTGCCTCTGCCTCCCGAGCGGGACATCGCCGGCACCCCTGGCCTGAATAATTTTCTTAAAGGATGGGGAAGAGAATCTCTTACCAAGCCAAAGTAGGACAGTGTGGACCCAATGTACACAACCAGTTGGATGATGTCAAACTTTCCTCCCTGAAACAGAGCGGGAAGCATTACTCGGTTGAACTTGGAGTGGTGCCTTTTCTTGCTAACTGGCAGTCGCTGCCTCTAGCACTTGCAGAACCTAGTGGCAGCACTGAGACACAGCTACGTGCTCACTCTCTCTGTCACAGAGACCACAAGACCCCATATTTCCCCTTTCTGCCATCTAGAATGGTTTAGAGAGATGTGGCCAGTAAGGCAGGACCACTGAAGGTTGCTTTCCATATGAGATGAGGGTTTCAGGCAAGCTCTCCCGTACGTAGTATGTGATTACTTGGGAAGCAGAAATGTCTGCCTATCTCTGCCTTGTTGGTCTTTTCAAGATCCACTCTCAGTGGCCTTTCCATTCTCTCAGTTATATTTTATGGGTTCTTGTCTTCCTTCCTATTTATTTATGTATAGACAGTCTTTATGTATGTATATAGCCTTTAGTGGCCTGGAATGTGGTAAGTATACCATGCTTCCCTCAGACTCACAAGATCCGCATGCCTCTGCTTTCAGAGTGCTGGGATTAAAAATGTGTGCCACCGCCCCCAGCTTTACATTTCACTGATTCTTATGTGGCACTCATCGTGTGCTGCCAAACGGCACTGTGGGCACCAGTTGACTTCTGAGTGTCTGGCATCTTCTCCTTTTTCCCAGTTTTCCTCCGGAGAACTTCTTTTTATCCTCGGTGTGTGCAGTCTGAGTGTTGAAGGTGGATGTGCCTGGTCCTGTCCTCTGGCCCCTCATCCAGGTCTGGGCTGGTCCAAGAGCAGCCATTGAACATATGGCATGGCCCTGATTATAACGATTGGGGTAGCAATGGACCAGTGACCCACACAGAGCCAAGCGGAACCAGTGCTTGCTGTCTAAAGTCTCTGCAGAGACTTCTGGACAAGAGATGTTTTGTTTTTATTGAAGTTGCTAACCTGGTAGGTGTCAGAAGCTGTCTGACACCACGGTGGAGACTCAGCTATTCGGGGATGGAAGAAGAGCAGAGGCGGGTTCCCGGTTATCTTGTTACCTGAATTCTCTCATATCTGAAGCCTGAAATTTTGCCTTGATTTTGCAGTTAAGTGGTCTTCCAAAAAGACTTTTCCCTAAGCCAGTTTAAGTTGGAATCTGTTACGAAATATTTTGCAGGGACTTTCATTCATCATATATTATTTTTAGTATTAAAGATTATTTATTTTGATTTATTATTTTCTGAGTATGAGTGTTTTGCCTGTATACCTACACTCCACCTGTTACCTGGTGTCCACAGAGGCCAGAAGAGGGCACTGGACTACCTGAAAATGGAGTTATAGACAGTTGTGAGCCCCCATGTAGATGCTTGGAATCAAATCCAAGTCCTCTGAAGGAAGAACAGTCATTGTTCTTAACTGCTGAGCCATCTCTACAGCCTCTTATTTATTTAATTGTATTTTCTAGGTTGGATCTCACCTATATTAGGGTGGCCTTGAACTCCCTGTGTAGCTGAGAATGACCTTGAACTCCAGATCCTCCTGCCTCTGAATCACAAAGCCTGGAGTTTTAGGTGTGCACCAGTTTCCTGGGTGCTGGGGATCATACCTAGGTCTTCTCATAGGCTTACATTCTACCAGCTGAGCTACACCCCCCGCTCAGTGCCACATCGACTAATGAATTAATTAGTGTGTGTCTATGTGTGTGTTGTCTGTGATACCATTTGTATGAGTGCAGGTGTACATGCCTGTGCAAACATATGTAGAAGAGGTTGACTTTGGGATATCATTCCTTAATTGATTATCTGCATGATTGTTTTTTGAGACGGTCTCTCAGTGAACCTGGCTGGCCTTGGAGTCTCTGGGATCCTCCTCTCTCTTGCTCCAGTCATGGGATTAGAGGCATGTGCTGCTGCGCTGGTTTTTTCACCTGGGTCCTGGGAGTTCTGAACTAAGTCCTCATGTTTGCCCAGTAAGCGCTTCGCCCACAGAGCCATCTCCCCAGTTCAGTGTTAAAGTATTTGAAAAGTTGGATATTACCTCTAGGCCTGGTGGTCCTGGCCTATGATTCCAGCATTTAGAAGGATGAGGCAGGGAGATTGAGGATTCATGGCCAGCTAGCTATGTAGCACAAGCTTGTCCCAGAAAAATACACCAAAGTTCGGATGTTTGAAGTTTTTTCCTCAGTCACATTCCATGTTTTTCAGATGCTTTCTCCATCATCAGAACCCCAATACAGTTCTTCCTCCTCTCATCTCACGAGTGGCTAGTGCAGAGCCAACTACTGACTGTGGCTGCTAGCATCCCTCCCCACTACATCCACAATTAGACCGTCACAGGATGGAGGTGCTAGGACCGGGAGGAGGGACTCACAGTGCCAAACACCAGGATGTCAAAACGGATCCCGAAGGCTTTGATCAGTGTCCGCTTTTCCACCTTGTTTTCCTTATAGTACTTGGCATATCTACAGGGAAAAAGCACATTTACAACAATCTTTCTGAAAGTGCAGGGATTTTACAGGGAGAAAGAGCAAACCAGTAGGCAATCCAGTCTTCCGTGCCTGCTCTCCAGGCCTGCCATAGTTGGCAGAGGAAAGATTAGTCCAGCCCTGTAATTAGGCTCTGAACAACAGGAACCAAAGAATGTCCCCAAGTTACCTCACCTGCTCACATCATCATGGAGTGACAGGAAACTGGCTTTTAGTTTCCTATTAAAACAGCCAGCATTTAAGGCAATATACGATTAGCAATAAGCAAAGAAGCTAAAGAGTAACTTCAGGTGATGTGTTTATTTCTCTTTTTTCTTTTTAGATAAGATAGTCCTGCCCATCTTGGAACTCACTATGTAAACCAAACTGTCCTCAGACTCAGAGATCTTCATGCCTCTGTCTCTAACTGCTGATACTAAAGGTGTCTGGCACCATGCCAGGGCATGTTTATCTCTTAAAAGAGAAAAAATAGGTGCAGCTTCTATAACAGAACTGGGAAGAAGGGCATCGTGAGGCTCAGCCTCGGTTTTCCACTGCGGACAGCTCAATGATTGCCCTAATGGTGCTTTCTTAGAGTCTGTGTTCATCTCTTTGCCAACCATTAAACAACACAGAGCCAAACCAAAAGTCACCTTGTGGGCAGCAGCCTGAACGTCATCCTATGTGAGTCTTTGACAACCACATTCTGAACCTTCCAGCCAGTTCAGGATGCCCTGTCATCACCTCGTCTATCTGATTCTCATAGCAAGCCAGTATTTCTCTATCCTCAGGCACACAGAGGCAGGTAGGGCCAAGACCAGACATATCGTTCATGAAGGTCCTTGTAGCCCAGGGCCTGATGACAGTGTTCAAACTAGCAGCTCCTGGCTCCCTCCCCAGCCCCACCTCACCTTTGCTTGCAGTCTGGGTCTCACCAATGTCTCTCTTACTGCCCTATGTATGGTGGCCTGCTCCCATCCTCTGAGATATATAGGGTTAAGTTCATTGACACTGCCTTCTCTGTGTCGTCATTAAATCACCTTCATGAACTAACCTGGCACAATCACAACCACCCCAAGTGGGTGCAAGATTTTAAAAAAGTGATTTGTTTTTCATAAATAATCAGGAAGACATAAGCCACGTATGTTTAGCAGGGCACGGTGGGACACACCTGCTATCCTGGCAGTTGGAAGGCTGTGGCAGCTGGATTGCCTTGAACTTAAGGATAGCCTGAGCTGCACAGTGATTTCAAGGCTAGCTTGGGCTATAGTCAGGCCCTACCTCAAAAAAGCAAAAGAAAACAAAACTGCAACCAAACAATGCAGCAACAAAGCCGGAAGCCTCATAGAGTGTCTACATTTCACAGGCTGTCCTTACGTAGAAACGTGCATTTTCGTTCTGCGTCATTCACAACCTATTTCTAGGTGCGGGAAGACAAGAAAATGGAAGACAAATGCTCTGCCAAAGTTTCATCTCTCGCCAGAGGGGTTTCCCTTGCCTCGAATCTGATTGTTTCATTCCCGGACAGTTCTTTCCTTCCTGCCCGGTCTAGTGGTTTGCTCTCTACTATACAAGCCGGCATGCGTCAGCACTCCACGCTTGTGGCTGGTTTGCCTGGGAAAATTAATTTTGTAAGTACTTGGATTTCTGCTTCCAGGCTCTTGCCATCCATTGGGGGCCGTAACGGAGGGCAAGGATTATGTGGCAAGACTACTCAAAAAGAGGGTCCCTGGGCCCGAATGCCAAAGAAGGGTTTCAGAAGGCCTGAGTAATTCTAGGGCCCTATGTCAGTACAGGCAGGTGGTAACTCAGCGAGGGACACTGGGCAAAGGTGCTTTTCTGGATTCAATATTGTCCCGCAGAAAAGATAGGTCCAAGTGCCTAACCCTAAGCCAGCACCATGAATATGACCTTACTTGGAAACAGTTTCTGCAAATGTAAATAAGCATCTCAAGATGAGCTTCCCTTGGGTTCAGGGTGGTCCTACATCCCCAGATTAGCAGGCATCCTTAGACAGTAAACCCAGAAACCCTTCGGGGATGAGAGCAGAGACTGGGGTGGTCTTCAGGTGCCTGTGCACCTGAAGAGGGCGCCAGATCTCACTATAGATGGTTGTGAGCCACCATGTGGTTGCTGGGAATTGAACTCAGGACCTCTGGAAGAGCAGCCAGTGCTCTCAACCTCTGAGCCACCTCTCCAGCCCTGTCTTCTTTATTTTAGTGAGTGTGTGTGTCCATGTGTGTATGTGTGGACAGTGTCCCCATCAGGCGTCTTCCTAGTCACTCTCTACCTTATTTTGTCAGACATGATCTCTCTGGTCCTGCTGCTCACCAGTTTGTCGGCGCGGCTAGCCAGCAAGCCCCAGGTATCCTCCTGTCTCTGCTTGTCCAGCACTGGGGTTCTAGGCACACACCACTACCAGGCCTGGCTTTTTACATGGATGCTGGGGACTGGAACTCATGTTCTCTTGGTGCACACACGGCAAGTGATTTCATGGCTGAACCATCTCCCCAGCCCCATAAATGTTTTCCCTTTTTTGTTTGTTTGTGTTTTGATATATGGTTTCTCTGTGTAGCAGCCCTGGCTGCCCTGGACTTTCTTTTTGTAGACCAGGCTGGCTTTGAATTTACAGAGATCCACCTGCCTCTGCCTTCCAAGTGCCGGGATTGAAGGCCTGCGCCACCACACCCGGCCTAAATATTTTTCCTGAGGACAAAGTTATATAACATGAGCTTTTCATCTTCCTGTATAAAAGAAAGCTATTATTTCCCCAAATGCCTCATGTAGCCTGTAATTTCCTTCTCCTTTGTGACACTGTCTGAAAATACCTTGTCCTCTTGCCTGTCAGATCTCCACAGTTTATCCGTGGCCAAAGAGTTCTCCTGTGGCTCATTTAACAAGAAATTTTCTAACACTTTATTCTAAGAGAACACTGACGTCATAACCCCTTTGCTCTCTAGAGAGCTCAGATCCCACCAGGACCAGGCGGAAACCAGGAGGATGTCGGCTAATGTCTGGTTGGTACATTGCCCGGCATGCGTTAGCTGACTGCTAAATAAAAATGCCCAGGCCCGTCAGGGGGCAGTTCATCCTATCCTCTCTTTCTTGCCAATGGTCACAGCCTATTCAGCCCTACACCTACTCAGCAAGGGTGATCAGAAAGTCAACTGAACTACGCACCCTCTTTCTGAGCTCAGGATGAACCTCTACTGGCCCAGAGGAGGCAGCAAGCCTCAGCCAGCATGATGCTGAGTCAAGGACCTCCAACTCAGTCTCCACAGGCGCCAGGCATAAAGCATGCGAGTCCATATAAGGACATAAAGGAGTGGCCAGGACAGTGGCAACACAAAAGCCACATGCTGCTTCTTCAGGGATAGATACCCATCTCCATGTGGGATATGAGCCCTGTATTATCAAGTTAAAGCTTCTTGTCAAACGCTCTAGTTTTTCAGGAAGACTAGGATGCCCGAATCTTTGTGTAGAATGCCACAAGGTTTAAAACATTCTACATGTGCAGAGAAATCTTATTCCAGTGTGGGTGTTTGCTAACTGGGGGGAGGGGGAGGGAGGAGAGTCGCTGTGATGCTCAGTACTACATAACAAGCACCCAGGTGGGGCCCATGACTCAGTTTCCAGGATGGAGCTTTCAGGGTAGGTATCTGGATCAGCAGTATTCAAATTCGAGTGAACAGCAGAGCCCCACAGAGACTTGTGAAAATGCGGATCAGAGGCCCACCCTATATAGTCTGACTCAGGAGAATATAGGCTGGGCCCGGGAATGTGTATTTTTTGTGTCACTATGCTGCTGGTGATGATGTATACATGAGTATGTGTGTTATGTGTGTGTGTGGTGAGTGTGTGTATGATGTGTGTGTGTGGTGTGTGGTGTGTGGTACGTGTGTGTACATTGTGTGATGTGTGATGAGTGTGTTGTGTTGTATGTGATTAGGGTGTTGTGTGTTGTGTGATGAGTGTGCGTGCACATGTCTGCACATGGCCTACGTGTGGAGGTCAGAGGACAGCTTGTGAGAGTCAGCTCTGTTCTTTCACCATGTGTGTTCTGACAGTCCAACTCAGGGCTCTGGCAGCAAGTATCCTCGCCCACTGAGCCACTCCTCAGCCCACAATATTATCTTACTGTGGTTTCAATTTGCATTTCCTAATGACCCGTAACGCTGATGAGCTATAATTTACCTACATTTTTGTCTGAGTGCCCTTATTGGAGTCTAGCAGCAACCGGGAAGTGGCAGCCATGTGTTTCCTGATGGCTGTGTGTGCCCACTGGCACATTCTATGCTGTTACCTGAAGTTGTAGCCGGGGATCAAGGACTCGTTGGTGTACTTGTCGTCCAGGCGGCGGAAGCTGTATCGGGGATAGCAGTGATGGGACCAGCTGTCCAGGTTGCAGTCCCAGTAGATCTCGATGCCCATGATCCCTCCCTGCAGGGGCAGTCAACCAGAGGGGTCACTGCATGTGTGGGTGTGGCTTACTCAAGCACCAGACACTGCCCTGCTCAGTAATGTCATTGTGAGGAGGGGTTTCCTTCTCCGGGGAAAACACTCATTAAAAGGCTTCAGTGCCACAGACGAGGGCTAGAATACCATGGCAGAGGCAGGCATGCCTCCCCGCTCTTCCCTCCTGGGACCCACTACCTCAGTTACCCCTAACACGTAACTTTCAGTGACTCCCCTGCATTCAGATGCCCTCCTAACTCCTCCCCATTATAGAGTAAGATGAACGGGATAGCCTGGGATCCAGGGACCACCCCACACGCCTTTTCTGCTTTCTGTCTGCACTCCCTTGGGAAAAGCTTTGGGAGGTGTGAGCCAGGGAGCGATCCTGAGACAGACAGGCTGCCTGGCCTTATGCGCCCTTCCTAGAGGTGTCCCCTCTGCTAAAGATGAGCATTTTTATGAGAGAGACCAAGAGAACCCAAACAAACATGGTGGCGTACTTGTGGAATTTCAGCACTTGGGGGGGCCAGAGAGTTCCAGGCCAGCCTGGGCTACCCAGTGAGACCTACTCTCAAAACACCAAAAAGTCAGCTGGGTGTTGGTGTCTCAAGCTTATAATCCCAGACTCAGGAGGCAGAGGCAGATCTCTGAGTTCAAGGCCAGTGAGTTAGCTCCAGGAGGATAGCCAGGGCTACACAGAGAAACCTTGTCTCAAGACAAAAACAAAACCACAACAGCATTAAGACGTCACTGTGACCCCTGAAGCAAGACTTGGTTGTTGGCTTTAAAGATGGAGGAAGGGACTGCCAACCAATACATAAATACAAGGAGCAGGCTGCTGGGGAAGGGGGAGATGGGAACACGCGTTCTCCCCCAGAGCCTCCAGAGGGAGTGCGCTGCTGCTGGCGCCTGGAGGCCAGCCCCGTCCTAGACCTTCACCCCAGGCGCAGAGGAACACGGATACTGTTTTAAGCCAGTACATCACTGGTAAGCTGGTACCGCAGTCACAGCAGGGTTGCCCCAAGCAGCTCGCTCTCGCTCGGGGGCGTGGGTTCCCCAAAGGAATGCAGGCAGCGCTCTGGGCACGCGCTTTATACCAAACATCAATGTGAGCCGTGACTTTAGGACCCCAAAGGTCAGTCCACCATCAGATGCTGTCATTAGATGTTTGACAACTCCACCCCACCCCCACCCCCACCCCACCCCCGTCACACATGCACCACAGTACAAAGACTCCACCAACCTGAACTGCCACCTCTGAAAAGTTCTCTCCTGCTTCCTGGAAGATGTCTCCTAGCCGGAAAATGGGACACTGAGGGTTCCGAGTCTTGTGAAAGGTACAAGAGACATTCAGATCTGGCAAGATGTTTCTCCTGTGCAGAATTGCAAACAAATGGATGTTTTAGCAGCCATCTCCCTAGAGGGGAAACAGACGGCTGATAAGAAGTGCTTGCTGGTTACCGTGGTGTAAGTCCCTCCACCACGGCTGCTGTCAAGCTCCCGATGGGACACTGTTGATTTCCACATCCCTCTACTACAAGCAGATCCATCGCTCCCTGAGGTGAGCTGTGAGGCAGCTGCCTCATCTCCTGGGGCCCTTACACTGTGCTAAGAACAATCTTTGTGACCGAGAGCGTTTGCAGAATCAGTGGGCTGTCGCTTCCACAGACTGTGGCTTCCATCTCAGCTGCCCGTGCTCATCCGCTGTCCAGATTGTTTGCTCAGGGAAGCAGCCACTGTGGCCTAGGGACACTCAAAACAGTCCTTGGGCGCGATGAGCAGGCTGAGGAACGGAAGTCCTCCTGCCCCAGCCACATGGGGAAGGCCGGAAAGGGGCTCGGCTGTAATCAAGCCTGACTGACGGCTCTGGAAAGACTGTGAGCCAGAACCACCCAGCAGAGACCCTTTCAGGTTCCTAATCCACAGATGAGAGAGAAAAGCTTGTGTGATTTTAGGCCCTCTAGGTTTGAGATCATTCGCTCCATGGCCGAGATAACGGACCCGTACAGCCAGGCACTGGGGATGCTTACGTGGTATAGTTGTGGCCCGGGAAGTCAATGTTGTTCTTGATGAGCACAGTGAAGTTTTCAGCGCTCCTCAAGAGTGCAGGCCTGGGAGAGAAGAACGAGGATCTGTGACCTCAGGGACAGAGTCCTTGGATCGGAGGGTTATGGTTTCGTGCTTTTGAGTGAAGAGAAACGAGTACAGCAACTTAGGTAGGCAAAACTTTCCAAAGTTCTCCACAAGGCCTGTAGCTTCTTCAAGAAGCCTTCTCCCTTCTTGAGCCCCCTCACGGCAATTACGGTGTCAGGTCAGACATGACACAAATGCATGCTTGGCTCTGCGTGGTGCCCTGTTACCACCTGACAGCTAGCTCTCCAAGGGAGAAATGGGAAAGGGCCTCAAATGTAGCACTTGCTGCTCATCATGGCGTAAATTAAATACTCCTACCATGGCTGGGGTCAAGCCCACATCCACCATCGGTAAACCTAAAACTGGCTTTGAGCCAGTGCTGCTCAGCTCTTGAGCGGCCATGTTTGTAGCTTCCTGAATAGACTTGTAGCCACCACAAGGCTGAATAATCATATTCAGCCTTTATCACAGGACCACACACAGAGTTGTCTGTGTCATTCATTCATTCAACTCATTCGTTCATTCATTCATCCTCAGAGGCTCCAGATAGCATTTAGTTCTCCCCTGAGTTAGAGGAATCAAAGTTCCAGACCACAGGAAGGCCATCCAGCCACCAGCCAGCCAACCTTCCATTAACAAATAATTATGGTACTGGACACAGAATAAGGGAACTGGGACATCACAATGAGCAAGACTGCCAGCAGCTGACAGTCTATAAAAGATGGAGGAAACTGGCTGAAGGTTAAAAAACAAAAACAAATGCTGGGCGCTGGCAGTGCACACCTTTAATTCCAGCACTTGGGAGGCAGAGGCAGGTGAATCCCCTAGTTGGAGGCCAGCCTGGTCTACACAGCTAATTGCAGGACAGCCAGGGCTACACAGAGAAACCGTGACATGAAAAAACAAAATAAACCAAAACCAAAACCAAAAAGAACAAAGCCAACCCTCTGGTACTCAGCAGCGACAGGCAAGGGTGGAGGGGCCATCAGGAACCATCTCACTTTCATTCCAGCACTTCTGGAATGTAGTCTTGGCTCTCATGGGACATAGCCATAGGGAATGCTGTCATTTTTGCCTGTTCAGCACTCACAGTTCCCTGTGGCATATAGTCTCAATTCTCTCCTTCTTGGGCTCGCTAGAGGGCTGGATAGGGATGGCTCTACTTCCTAGTCCTCCCTTCTGTCCCACGTGGACCCTGGACCTAAGGCCACATAGTGCCCACAGTCGGCTCTCAGAGGTCATTAGACATAGTATGGCAATGAGAACATTTCAGAGCTTTAGAGGGAACAAAAGGCTAAAGAATTTCTTGAGCTCTATGAACTACAATGTGAGGAAAGTCAAAAAGAAGAGAAATGACTAGGAGAAGGGTTAGAAGGGGGAAGAGGAAACCTTACACCTTCAAGGCCTGGAACCATGGACTCTGAATGTCTCATTCAGTACAGTAAAAATTAAAAAAATAAATAAATAAAACCAAAAATGATATCTCTTTTTTTTTCCTTCTGTTTAATAAAGTTGAGTTCATGGTACCTGCATGAAAGTCTTATTTATTTACAACACATTCCTGCCTTGTTCTGGACTGTGCCCTTACAACTTTTATTTTAAACTTCATGCTTTAAGTAGACAAACTGCTTCCATTAGAAGATATGGATTATTGAAGGGAAATTTCAGTGTCCTGTGTGGGTTCCTATGTGAAACTGCTGGGGAGCGGCAGGGGTCCTCAAAAGAAGCTGTCGCCATTGTTCTTGGGGTTCACCATCAGTACTTGATCAGACCATGTTACTGGGGCTGGAGAGATGGCTCAGAGGTGAAGAGCCCTGCCTGCTCTTCCAAGAGGACCTGAGTTCAATTCCCAGCAACCGCATGGTGGCTCACAGCCATCTATAATGAGATCTAGCACCCTCTTCTGGCATGCAGGTGTACATGCAGGCAGAACCTTGTATTTGTAATAAATAAAACTTAAAAGACGAATTACTGAAATCATAACACACTTTGGACCTGGAGGAATCAATCTGGAACTGACCTGAAGATTTCCTCCTTGCCTGCTAGTGCCAGAAAGGGCTGTGCAGGCCACTGAAGGAGAAAAGTCACCAATGGTGTTACCCAGCAGTGAATTCTGCATGTTACAATACCAACCTGCCAGGCAAGGTTGCTTATATGGTGGCACGAAGGTGATGTGGTGACCAGGTGCTTTCTCATTGGATTTGAGGGGTGCTGCACAGGAGGGACTTCTTGTCTGGTAGTGCAAACCTGGTCCAAAGTTCGTGGCTTAGGTCATAGGCCCTAGGTAAACCTACTTCTGTTTTTCTAAATGAACATGGTGTCAGACTGCCTTCTCTGTATTTGCTTATCTCCTGTGAGTGCTCCTGTCAGCCTTGGTCAGAGAAGCTCCTCTTTGCAGTGGGCAGTGGTAAATGCAGACTCGTAGCTGGTCCAAGCGCTAAGGAAAAAAGGACTGATGAGCAATGGCAATTTATATCAACACCCACTGAAGGTTCAGGGGCTATCGAGGATGAGAGGATGATGAGAATACTAAGCAGAGGATGGGGAGGAGAGCTGTCTTCTGGACATGACATGGCTGTTGCTTTCATGAACTCATAGAAACTATAGTTACCTACATACGACCTACAAAAGATCAGGTAGTGAGTATTCCAGCACAGATGGGAGATGGGATCATGAGGCTCCACCCACAGCTGAGGAGCCATTGGCAAACCATGGCTGCCGGAAGGGCTCCTTTCTCTATGTTGCCATCTGAGGTGAATCGGCCCAGACCTACGTTCATGCAGACAGAGCTAACTGGACTCAGTGAATTACTGTGTGGGGGGGCAGGCATGAAGGTGGAAGAAGAAAGCATTTGGGGAAGGGACTCAGGAGAGTGGGAGGGGAAATTTGGGTTAGATATCATCAAAACACATGATATATATATAATATGTGTTGTGTGTATGCACATTTTATGTACTACATATATTATGTATGAAATTATCACAATAAGGTCTAAAAATATATGTGCACATATAAGGAACAAGTAAAACTGGCTCAGGACTCAAGACTGCAGGCTCCTCTTACGTGACATTTATAGCTTTTCAGTTTGAATTACATCTTCTCTGCATGTCTCATCTCCTCTATTACAGAGCGAGAATCCCGAGACCCACTCCCTGCCCGTTTTTCTTAGATTTTTGTTCTGTATGAAGCAACACACAAGGGAGGTGACCGACAAATGGAACGCCAACTCCTCAGTCGCTGTCTTAAATGAGCGGAGGGTTAAGGGAACTATCTGGTTCATATCTCACGTGAGGAGACTTCATGCCCTAGGTCATGTCAAAGTACAACCTAGGAAGCTGGTTTAGTAGTTTATGGCTCTAATCCCAGAACTCAGGGGTCTGAGGTGTGTAGGCTGGTACCCCACCCACAGCACAGTACCTTCTGTATCAAGAAACTCCCCTGGCTTACAAGTGAAACGGGGGTGACAGTCGAAGGCCAGAAAGGGCAGTACTCTACAGCCTGCACCCTGATGTTGGATGGTGGGTGGAGCTTGGCCTGAGCCACCTCTGTATCTCTTTGTCCCACATATGAGTGACCCTGAGTCCAGACTGTTTTGGGAAGTCTTAAAGAATCAATGGCTGTGAGATTAAAATTAGGGCCAGTGAGATGGCTCAGTGGGTAAAGGTGCTTGCCGCTAAGCCTGATGGCCCAAGTTCACTCCCTGGGACCCACATGGTGGAAAGAAAGAATCAGCTTCTGGAAGTTGTCCAGAGGCACAGCATGGCACATAAGCACCACATATACAATCAGACAAGCAAACAAATGTAAATAAGTATAATGTGAAAAATTAAAAATTAAATGCGTTTTCAATTAAAATTCCATTCCTTGTTTCATGTGTCCAGTCACCACAGGTTGCAGGCAGCTACCATATGGGACACCCTGGGTACCAAACATCCCCATCACTCTCGTACAGAGCTGTCTAGAACCACTATTCTTCCAGGAGCAGAATGCCCCCGTGTGGAGGCCAGAGGTCTTCCTCAGTGAGTCTCCATCTTATTTTTTGAGGCAGCGTTTCTCACTGAACCTAGGGCTCACCAATCTGGCTCGACTAGCTGGCCAGCAGCCCAGGGATGCTTCTCACAGCCTCCTCAGCTGGGACTACAACCGTCTGCTGCTACCCCTGGCTGTTTATGCCTGGCGCTTAGGATCCAAACTCCAGTCATCAGGCTCGCTGGTCAGACACTGCTCACTGAGCCTCCTCCCCAGCTCTGCCTCTTCATATTCTTTGTCATTTAATATAAGCTCTGGCAGATCAGAGCAAACCCAGGGGTTACTACTATAACATGTTAAGAGCTGGCATAGCCTTCCCAGAGATGGCAGAGAGGTCTGCAAGCCAGGACTTCGCAGCCAGGCCTATGCCAATCAAAGAATCCCAGGAGCCCTAGAGAGGCTGGCATTGCCAAGACCACTGTTGGTGCCCCTAACCATGCAACTCACCGCGGGGCATCTTTCCCCTCCTCGGCAGGACACCAGGCAGAGATTTCACAGGTCTTCCTTCTCTCGTCGTATGGTATACACCTGCCAGTCTGGATTCCTACAAATTCCAAAGGGTTGAAGAAGCAGAGAGGTGAATGTACCAGACGAGGGATATCTCTAGGGACACCATGCACTCAGTGTGCAGAGGCCCAAGCGGCTCCCTCTTCGGTGAACCCCATCCTCATCACATATGCACCCTAAGCCAAACAGAGAGAGATCCCTAAGAGGAGAGTTCTGTATTCAAAGTCCACTATACATGGACTAAAATGTGGCTTCTTACGTGGCATCTGAGCACCTGCAGGGTATACAGCTTGTCTAGGATGTGTAAAGTCACATGATGAATTTGGGAGCATCCTTCTGAAGCATCAGGAAGAGAGAGAACCAATACAGGGCAAACCACAGTACAATAATCTCCATGGCAACTCACACACATTATGGAATGGAACTCAACACTCAGGTGCCTTTCTATGAGTGTGGGTGTGTACATCGATGGTGGCTCTTACTTCCTTGTTTTGAGACAGGTTCTCTCTATTTAAGCTCTGGATGCTCTGGAAGGCTGGCCTCAAACTCACAGAGATCTGTCTACCGCTGCCTCTGTCTCAGGAGTGCTGGGATTAAAGACCTGCACCACCACAGCCCAGTGTCTTATGTGTTTTTGTTTTGTTTTGGTTTTTTGGTTTTTCAGGACAGGCTTGGCTGTCCTGGAGTCCCTCTGTAGACCAGGCTGGTCTCGAACTGACAGAGATCTGCCTTTCCGAGTGCTGGGATTACAGTCATATGCCACCACACCCGGCTATCTTTTTAAATTAAAACATGAGGCATTGCTTTTTGCAAGGCTGGGGCTGTAGCTCAGTGGTAGAATGCTTACCCAGCCTGCATGAGGCCCTGGATTCAATCTCTAGAATGGAGAAAGAAAAGAAAGAGTGGGAGGGAGAAAGGGATCAAAGGAGGGAGGAAGGAAGGAAAAGGTTAAGCCTCCAGGTCCTTGGAGGCTAGAGTTCCTGTTTCTCTACCTTTGGGGAAGTGTTCCAAGAATTCGACCCTGCACAAAGGTCAGCTAAAAGCCAGAGACTAAGGACCCCAAACTGGACATCATGAAGGTGACAAAGATGCCAGACCATCCCCACTTAGTAGCTCAGGGAAAGACAAAGAAAAGTACCTTTGCTTTGCGGATCCATCCATCCCTTTTTGCAACCCTGGTCAGAATAACAGTGTGCGCTGCGGGTGGGAAACTTCAGGAAGAAGGGCAGGAGAGCAGAGAGTGAACATTGCATCATGAGCCACCAAGAAACCACAACCCCTGCTCACCACTGTTCATTGCAACATCACTCGTGATGCCCGAAAATGAAAATAGACCAAATCCATCAATGTGAGAGGAGACAAATAAAAGGTGGTATATTCATATGGGGTGTGTGTGTGTGTGTGTGTGTGTGTGTGTGTAAGCCAGAGGTCAGGTGTCTTTTTCTATCACTCTTCCCCATATTTTTTGAGACAGGGTCTCCAGCTAAGACTGTAGCTCACCCACTGGCTGGGCTGGCTGGTCATCAAGGCCCAGGGATTTACCCACACAGTTCCCCAGCACTAAGATTACAAGTGTGGCCAGCTCTACCCTGCTTCTTATGTGGATGTGGGGGATCGAACTCAGATCCTCATGCTTGATGGCAAACACTTTAATGACTGATCCATCCTCCCAACCCCCGTATGTGGAGTCTTGTTCTGCCAGGTCCTGACACATGCTACGTCATGAGCCATCCTCAAAGCGCGATGGGGTATGAAAGGAGCCAGACACAGAGGCCACGTCTGGTTCTATAGGTAGGACGTGTCCTGGATATGCAAATCCACAGAGACAGAGCACAGACTGGTGGCTGTCAGTGGCTGTGGGGAGGCTGGAGAAGACTGACTGATAATGGGGACAGTTTGTTTTGGGAGTCAGGGTTTCTTGGGTGGGGAGTATGATAGTAATTTTCTAGAATTAGGTAATGGTGGTTTGCAAAAAAAAAAATCACTGAATTATATACTTGGAAGTCAAAGGTTTTTAGAGTACATAAATTCTATCTCAATTAAAAACAAGAGTAGGGGCTGGAGAGGTGGCTCAGAGATTAAGAGTACTGGCTGCTCTTCCAGAGGTCCTGAGTTCAATTCCCAGCACCCACATGGAGGCTCACAACCAAACAATGCATAATAAATAAATCTTAAAAAAAAAAACAAGAGTAAATAAAAAATACAAACTGCAGGTGTCAAGGCAGCCAGGAGGTACTTTCAGAGATGGTCTTTGGGGTAGAGAACAGATGGCAAGGTTGCGGTTACAGGGCCCCTGCCACCACAGAGCCGAGCAAGCAGGCAGCAGGCGGTGTCAGGAGAAAGGGCGCCACCAACATGATCCTGCCTGGAAAGCCTGAGTCAGCTGTGTCTGGGGGTGATGGACAGGATAAGGGAAGGGCAAAGAGAGGGCCTCGTTTCTGCATGTTTCACTTCACACAGCCAGTGTCAGGAAAGACGGAACAAACACATGTACACGCAGGAAGAAAGCCACTGCTCATCGTCACCTGCCTGTCTGCCCCTAAGACTGGGGCAAGGATCTAGGTCTTGAGTCCAGGTACCCTGGGGTTCTGGGAGAGCAGATCTCTCTGTGGGTGGTGTTTCCATGGCCGAGTCATTCATTTCACTGCCCCTAGCTTTAACTCATCTGTGAAAGGAGGATAACTTGCTTTGTCTCGGGTGGGTGCTGTGAAGGTGGGACGAGTTTTGGAAAGAGGGCGTAGTGTAGTCCTTGCTCAGCAAATAGCTCGCACGCTTTTCACACTCATTTGCTCTTTACTGCTTGGAATGCTTTCTTTCTGTGACCAGCCAGGCCTCTGGGTTCTTCTCTTGGTATCCCCTAAATTCAGCTATGAGTCTTTTGCCTGCAAAGCCCAAGTCACATCTTTGTAGCCTAACTGCCTGCTGGACTCACTATAGGCCTTGATAATTGTAGTATAAATGAATGAGTGAGTGAATGCGTGAGTGAGTGAATGATAATATACTATGGCTCTTGAGCAGTCGTGATCTTCATTATCTAGAAGGAACTCCCAGGAAAGAAGATAAACCGATTCTGTTTTTTATATTTCTAAGAGAAACTCTAACACTGTTAGTTTCATAATTGCCACAGGGGCTGGAGAGCTTCTCAAGCATTCTCCGGGCTGATAGACGAGCTATTTCCCTCCCTTTGGAGGTGGGCCTCTGTGTGCTTGTAGGAGGCGGCAGAAATAGCACAGTGCCAGCCCCAGGCTTCAGCTTTCTTCCTTCTGACTCTGGGGTTCCTGAGCTGCACTATGCTAATCTGGCTGCTCTTCTGGGGGAAAGCATGCAGAAAGACCCCAAGGAGAGAAAAACCCTTGAAGACTCCTAGGAGGGGAGAGACGTCCAGCGCTTTGAGCCTCCAAATGATGCTAATGGCAGCTGTGTGGGAAACGAGCCGGTTCAGCTGAATTCAGTCCACCGTGGAATGGTGAGAAGAAGCTGGTGAGGCCCTTCAGGTGCCTGGGAGTTTGAACTGCTAGAACGAGCAGTTTATATTCAGGTGTACTTTAGGGCTTGGCCACGTTTACTGAGATGACCAGGGACAGTGTGAGCAGTGACGTGCCCAGAGAGGAGGCAGGTGTCCATGTGGAATGACCCAGGCCAGATTGCAGTGTAGCTAAACTGTCCTCCCCAGTCATGTGGTGGCCTCCAGGCTGGCGGTACCCCATGGAAGCCTTGGGTTTCTTCTGCTCTGGGCGACCATTTTGGTTCCCCAAACAGCACATTTTCTGAGGGCTTTGCAGCGTATCAGAACATGTCTAAGTGTTCTCTTGTGTAGAATAGGGCCTAGGAGTTATACCCCTGAATTTGTGAGGCTCCAGTGAAATGTGAAATAACACACACACACGCCAGGAATCATATTGTTGTGAGCTGCACAGAGGGCTTGTGAAGGAAAGAGCCGGAGTTCGCCCAGGCTCCTAGTGCTGCAGCCGGAGCCTGAGGCAGGCCGACAAAAGATCTCGGTTCCCAGAATGCATCTCAGCCCTTTGACCTCTCTGAGTGGGTCCCCTGCTTACCTCAGGACATAGCTTCTGCTCTTGGCCTTCTGACTTGAGAAAATTTGTCATTACGAAGAACGAGTTCCCCTGCTGAGAAAAGTGGCAGAGCAAGGATGAAGCTTGGGGAACAGAACTCCTTAAGAGGCATAATATGTTTTGCTAAGTGCCAGGGGTGAGCCTTTGTCCTCTTGGAAGCCCCTAGAAAGAGGCCGTGGGCAGCATGGACTTTGCCGAGGGCTTAATATCAAAGCTGCAGGAGCTGTCCCGCAGGGCCGGGGGGAGCGGAGCTCTCAAGTGTAGGGAACAGTCATTTTCCAAGCCAGCCTCAAAAGCAGCTGTGTCATTTTTTCTGACACAGTAAAATCCCATTAAACGGAGACTCTGGAGAGCTGGGGAAGTGGAGGTGGGGTGTGGGCTGCATCCTGGGCAGGTTGTTCAGATTTCTCAGGGCTTAATGGAAGGCCATGGGGCTTCCCACTACCTGGGCAATCAGTGGCTTTTATGGTCTGTAGCTAGAAACAAATACCAGCTTGGGCCTGCTGACTTTGCCAAGTGCTCTGGCTCCCCAGGGTTGCAATGGGCTCTTTTGTTCCTCCCACACCCCCATCTGTTCCTAACTCCTTGGCCCCTCTTTTACTTCTCCTTTTTTGGTAACTGTTTCATTTTTCCTGCTTCGCAGACTCAGCTAGTCACACTCTCTGCTGTGACCTCCACCTTCTCTGTCTTTGTCACCACATCCTTTGTTCAGAAAGACCCAGGAACCATCTCCTGATGACTTTTTCAGCAACAACGGGCCACACAGGACATGCAGAAGCAGACGAGCTCCCTGTCGTCCTGAAGGCAGGCCGAACGCGCCACAAGGTGGCCCTGAGCCCAAAGCCGTGTGCGCCTCAGTGTGAGCAAATCAGATCTCATTTGGAATTTGCCAGGATGTGCTGCTATTTTGAGCAGCCGGGTAGGATAAAGCAAAGACCATCTTCTTTGAGCTGCTGGATGTGACCCAGTTTTGCAATTTTTAGGTTTTTCTCAGTTGGGATTTTCACAGGTTTTAAATAGGACCAACGCTTTTCTTTTGAGACAAGGTCTTACGTATTCCGGGTTGGCCTCAAACTCACTATTCAGCTGAGAGTGACCTTGAACTCCTGATTCTCCAGCTTTGACCTCTTGGGGCTCCATGGTTTTCATGCATTGTACCAGTTGAGCTGTATATCCTCAGGCACAAGCTAACTTTTTTCTTGTCTTTTCCTTTTGAACTGAGGCTCTTACTCTAAGGATGGGGACAGGGAAGTGGCGAGGATGAGTCCTGGCGTCAGCTGCCTGGTACTTACCTGCATAGGGAAGGTGTAGTCCGCAGTGTCAAAGATTCTTTGTACCGGCCTCGTCACCCCGCCCTCTGTGACATTTTCTATCACCTCTGCAATCCCTTTGACCTTGGTGTGCACCGAGCTGATAACGGGCTCTTTCCGCTGATAAAGCTTGTCACTCACCAAAGCAAAGCTGAGGACAGATGAAAAAAGCATCAGTGGTTTTCTCACAGGCCAGGGCAGTGGTTTGAGCTGCAGACTCTGAGGCGGGGAGCTGCTTCTGCCCACAGCCTGCTTCGCTGTGACTCCCCCTTCTGCAAACTGGGACCAGCAGTTAGACCTGCCCTCTTCTTTATTAATTACCCAGTATAGACGGACCTCAATTCATAGTCCCACTCTTGGCAGGTTGAATGGCTCTGTCCCAGGGCTCCGGAACACATCAGCTGGGCTTGCTCCTGTTTCAGGTCATTAGATTTTTGTTTTGTTTTGTTTTGGTTTTGAAATAGGGTCTCTCTGTGCAGTCCTGGTTGCGTCTGACATAGACCAGGAGATCCTCCTGCCTCTGCCTCTCAAATGCTGGGATTAAAGATATATGCCATCATACCTATCAGGCCATCTCATTTATAAGAAATTCACAGAATAGATAAATCTATAGAGACAGAAAATGGATAATTGCCAGAAGAGAAAAAATAGTGAGTGACAGCTAATAAGCAAATTACTTCCTTTTAAGGTAAAATATGTTGGTAGATAAAGGTATTACTATATAATGTTGTGCACTGTTAAATGCCACTGGTGGGGGCTGGAGAGATGGCTCAGCAGTTAAGGGCACTGTCTGTTCTTCCAGAGGACCCAGGTTCAAGTCCCCGCACCCACATGGCAGATAAAAACTGTCTGTAACTCCAAGATCTGACACCCTCACATATACACACGTGCAGGCAAAACACCAGTGCACATACAAAAAAATTTAAAGGTAAATAAATAAATTTTAAAAATTAATCTAAAACACCACTGTTGTGTTCACCTTAAAATAGTCCTTTATTCCTCCCCCTTTTAATGGTCAGTTTTATGTTATATAAAGTTCACCTCAGTTGGTAAGATTAACCCATTCTTATAGATATTTGTCCATAGAAATATCAAAACAAAGTAACAAACATCAAATTCAGGATGATGTTTACAAGGGGGAAAAAAAGAGAACAAGATGAAGGATGAGTTTACAGGGGGCAAAGCTGGATTGATATGCTTTTGTTTTGTTTTGTTTTGTTTTGTTTTTCAAGACAGGGTTCCTCTGTGTAGCCTTGGCTGTCCTAGACCCACTTTGTAGACCAGGCTGGTCTTGAACTCACAGAGAGCTGCCTGCCTCTGCCTCCCAAGTGCTGGGACTAAAGGTGTGCACCACCATGCCCAGCTCCTTTGTTTCTTAAGTTGCACAGAGGCACATGGATATTATCTTATTCATAGTACATTTTAGTGTTTATCGAACAGTGATTAAAGAAGAACCTGGTCTATTGAGACAGTTCAGTGAGTAAAGGCTCTTGCCGACAAGACTGATGACCTGGGTTCGATTCTCCAGAACCCACACGATGGTAGAAGGACAGAACTGAGTTCTAAAAGTTGTTCCCTGACCTCCACATGCACACCATGACACATGAGCATGCACATAAAACGTACACAGTTTTTGAGATGCTGGAGCTAGAAACCCATATTTGGGACCCACTCTGCGTGTATGGTACAGAGCTTAACAGAACACGTGTAGACATACACATTTATGAATGTTCAGCTGCACCTCCGCCTCAAAACACATACAAAATACTTGCAATGTTCTTTCAAGTTATCCATTGCAGCATCTTCCCAGAACAGCATGTGCTCTGCCATTTGGGAAGCTCTGTCTGAAGCTTCATATCCATTCTAGAATATGCATTCCATGATTGTCTTTAACAGAATCCAGCCCTGTCAAAAGACTGAAGGCTTTGCAAACACAATGGACCTTTGTACCATAATGAACATGAAAATTCTACTCACACATCCCAGAGATGCAGCAAAAGAGAAAGGAAGCAAAGAGTTTGTAGCACTTTGCAATAGTTAAGCCGGGCATGGTAGCACAGGCCTTTGATCCCAGCACTCAGGAGGCAGAGCCAGGAGGATCTCTGTGAGTTTGAGGCCAGCCTTATTTACAAAGCAAGTCTAGAACAGCCAGGGCTTAATATACAGAGAAACCCTGTCTCGAAAAACCAAAGAGAGAGAGAGAGGATAGTCTAATAATCAATTCTCCCACCAACTCTTGACTTTGTGGGATGACTCAAGAGAAACAAAACCTCTTCTCTGGGCCATGAGTTCAGTCCTTGAATGAGGTCATAATTTTCTACTCTCTAATCTCAGTGACCATTATCTTTAAGAAACTGATGTTCAATACATTCAGGCTCATGCAAAGCCACCAGCTTGGAGCAAGCACAGTATTAAGGTGCCAGGGGATTTAACTGATCCCGGTAGAATAAGTACGATTGAAAAGTGAGGGGAGAGAGACTGGAGAACCAGGCAGGCAGAAGAGACCTGACAAAGGAGAAGCTAGGCTCACCCAGAGACCCTTGCAGAGGCGGGTAGAATGGAAGCCCAGGGATCTAGTGGAGGTGGAGAAAGAGGTTGGGCCATGGAGCCCTGGGACTGTCTCTGGCTTGACTCACCAGATGTAGAAACAGAAGGCCACTAGGAAGGAGTTCTTCAGACCCCCGAGCCATCTGCTGTGGATTTGCAGGACTTTCACAGATTGATGGCTGCATAAATGCCCCATGGGCAGCATGTTGAGAAGGTTCCCAGAGAGCCCCAGGAAGGAAGTGCCTCTCAGCAAAGTCTGCCTTCCTCTGACAAGGACTGACAGCAGTTCTGAGCAAAGGTAACTCTAAAGTGAAAGCTCTGAGTGAGACCTGCCTTCACATCTGTTTAACCCATAGCTAGCTGGGGCCTAGCTCCAGGCTCTGCTGCCTGTACACCCTCACTCATGTTGCCGGGAGCGTTTGTCAGAGCATCTTCTTCACCAGGTCAAAGGGCATGCACATGGATGGCTCAGTTCCTTGTGTCAAACTACAAAAGGCCACACTGTTTCATGCAGTGAAGCAAAAGTGTGCACACCGCCCTTCACAAAGGATCTTAACAGACAAAGGCGTGGTCACGTGAGCATGGCTGAGGTGATGAAGGGTCTAGGCAGCACCTTGGGTATCTTTACAGAGATAAGGACAGATGCGGCAGTTGTAAGGAGCCCTCTGAAGAAGGGCACAGGTTGGAACTGTAACCGGTGATGACAGAAGAAGGGGTCCAGGCAAACTTTCCCTGCGGTTGCTGACTGGTGCCAGTGAAGATGACAATGACAGTGGTGATGGCAGTGACTTTTTATTTATGCCCTCAGTCTCCCTCTTTTCCCCACCTCTTTTCCATCTGCATTTAAGTATAATTTCTCATCTTAAAAATAAACCCTCCCTCCACCCCACATTCTCCTACCGCCATGCAGGGCCTGGCTCCTCCTGCGGAGCCCAGTCTTTTGAAGGAGTGAGTCATCGCCTCCCTTTCCACATCTCCATTCACTCCTCCACCCACTCCAGTCTGGCTCCCACCCCCACCACTTCTCCAATGCCGCCCTTGCCAACTCACTCTCCTCCAAATCTAGCAGGCATGCCCCAGGCACCATGATGGACTCTGGTGACCATGGACAGCTTCCTCTTTCTTTTTCTTGCAGCCCAAGGAGCCTACATTCTCCTGAGTGCCTTGGATCTCTCTGGCACCTCTGTCCCAGAATCCTTTGGAAACTTCTACATCCTCGCCATCCCCTAAATACTAGCACCACTCAGGGATCCCTGTTCCAAGCTTCTTGCTTTCATCTACCTCTCTTGCTGGTCAGTTGAAGATGTCCATGGCTTCAATTACCATCTACAGGGCTGGGTGACAGATAATCTATCTTAAAGTCCTGAAAGCAAATACCTACACAATCAATATGCACAGTTATGGGCCTCATATACCCTTCTAACTCAAAGCTTTAAGCTCTGAACTCAGCCTTTAACCCCAATTACATTTTCTCCTGAACTTACTAGCCCCAGGAAGGAATTCAACCAACGTCTGATTAGCTGCCCAAGTCAAGAATGTGGCACATCCTTGACCCTTTCTCTCCTTTCCTTCACCCCCCCCCCAACCCATCCATTCGCCTACAAGTCCTTGTTTGAGCTGGGCAAGGTGGCACATGCCAATAATCCTTCCACTTGGGTGGTTGAGGCAGGGGGTCAGCTGTTTAAGGCCAGGTGCACCTACATGTGGAGTTACTCGAAACCTGTCTGAGAAAGCCAAAATCTAAGAAATTCCACTGTTGTATCTTCCTAATATGACTCAGCTCCACCTGGCCTCCGCCACTGTCACCTTCTCAGTCCTGCTCGCCATCAGTTCACAGGAGGATAAAGCAACACTGTTTAGTCTCCCTCCAGGCCTGGTCCTGTGCCCTCCACGCTTCAGTCTGAGCATGTACTCTGGAGGAGACATTCAAGTCCAATCTTGGCTCAGCCTCTGACTGGCTAGGTAACTTTGGTATGTAAAGGTACCGAAGGTACGGAACAGATATGTAAAGGTTGTTAGACAATTCACATGATCTGTCACACGGCCAAAGACCTGGTTCACTTGGACACTACACAGCAGGGGGCAGACTACTCTGGGAAAAAGGTCTCTGCGGGCCATTGCCCAATGTGAACTCACAAACCAACAATCTCTCAGTAGTGGGAGAACCAGGCACCAGGGCCTCAGCTGCAGCTGCCACCCCCACCCCCCAAATGTGCTGGGTCCTACCAGTCACCCATCCCTGTAGCATGATCCCAAGGATTGCAGATCCTGCTCTCTAAAAGCTGGCAGTGGTACCTTATCCGGGAAAAGAGTGTGGAAGCAAGGCTGAGGACTTTGAGTTGTAAGATTACCTTGAGTAACCTGGGTGAGTTCCAGAGACCCACACATCTCTGTAAAAGAGGCAGAGGGCAGCCTGACACTCACGCAGAAAAAGAAGCACTGTGGAAACACAGCGGATAGAGGACTGAAGAGGCTGCCTCCCCCAATGTTTTCCAGCACCCTCATGATAAAGCTCAGTTCTGCTCACAGTCTGGGTCTTGCTGGTTTACAAAGTCCCCTGGGCCTCTCCTCTGAGACACTAACACCAGCCCTAGGCTGTACTCCTTGGGCCAGTGCTGTGTTGACAGCCAGGGAGACTGGGCTGGAGTGGGCTCCAGAAGCCCGTGTGTATACAGCACTACACGGAAGCCTCCGCTACGGTAAGTGTGGCAGAGGAGCTGGCTGCCCAGGCAGCTTTCATAAAGCCAAAGAAAAAGGGATTGTGCTCACTTTTTTAAGATTCTGTGTTTCAGATTCTTTTTTTTTTTTTTTTTTTTTTTTACATTTTGGGGCTAGACATGAGTAAAAGGATAGCGCAGACTGTAGTAATAAAAACATTTTAAGCTTGGCAGTGGTGGGTAAATGTTTTTAATCCCAGCACCACGGAGGCAGAGGCAGGCTGATCTCTGTGAGTTCCAGGAACCTGATCTACAGCGTGATCTCCAGAACAGCCAGGGCTACACAGAGAAACCCTGCCTCAAAACAAAATGAAAAAGCAAAAGACAAAACCAAACAAACAAAACAAAACCCAACAACAATAACAAAACATTTTAGCTGTTGGTTCAGCGCCCCAGCAGTACTGAACACGCTTGCCTCTCTTTGATCTTGCATGGAAAAGACAAAGACAACCTCATCCACAGCACCTCTGAGCCATCTCTCCCCATAGCAGGTCCATCTCAAGCTGGTCCACGTCTCTCCAACTCCACCGCTCCGTTCTAGCCCAAGTTGCTGTCTTCTGTCACCTGGGGGCTGCAGCAGTCTCTCAGTGGCTCCTATAGCCATTCTTGTTCTACCTCACAACCCATTCCCTCTTCCCAGTAGCCACTAGAGCCTTTACACACACCAATCAGATGGTTCCGCTCCCCAGAGATAAACAGGCTCCTCAGAGAATTCCATCCCCGCTCTTATCTGTCCTGCTCCTGCTCTTCCTTCCTCTCTCATGAACTTCTGGAACATGGGTGTCCTTACTGTTCCTGTTTGCTTCCTCAGCCTTTGCGGTTACTATTCTTTAGGCCCTATGTGTCATGTGGCTGGATTCTTCTCCTACAAAGGTCTCCTCCTAAGTGGGCCTGTCCTAATCCCCTAGCTGCCCAAACTCTATCATATCATTCAGGGCCAAGGTGGTGACTTGCATATTTCATTTTCCCCAAGGCCACAGAGACTGTGCCTAGGTTGGGTTTGGTGTCTGGTCTCTTCTCCACCTACATGGTAGCTGGACAGAAGAGGCCCAGCCTTACAGGTGTCACCCTTTGGGGAATGGCCAGCCAATCTGGGACTGCATTTTAAAAACCATGAATAAGTACAGACACACCCTTCTCCCCTCCACCCCACACCTGGCAAAGGACAACCTGAGGCTTCAAAGGACAACACCATGCCTGCTGTTGGTGCAGGTTGGCTGGGTCAGGGGAGGCTATTGTGAATGAGATCAACCTTTTCTAATCTTCTTTGGCTACTGAAATATTTCTGAGCTCAGTCTCCAGGGAAGAGGAAGCCATCTTCTCAACAGAAAACAAATATCTTTTTCCATTGTGCATCAAAGTGCCATGTGGCCTCTCAGCTACTTGGAATGAAATTCAAGATGGCGACATTGCAGGCGGCTTTGTTCAGACAAGTTGGTGTTGGTGAAGCCAGTTTTTCTCCAGTTGTCTGAATAAATGGCTTGGTTCCTGGTCACAGCAAGCCAAATAGGAGTATAGTACAAGGGGGAGGTATCAGTTGCTGTGGGCTCCTGCTGTGACTAAGAAAGGAACAAGCCCTAGCAACAGCCAGAAACAGAGTCTCCACAGCTGGCTCAGGGCTGAGACTATACAGACAGGCCTCAGGCTCTGCTGAGATCCCTTATTTATTTATTTTACAACTTCATTTATTTTATGTATATGAATACTCTATCCGGATGTACACCTGCATGCCAAAAGAGGGAAGTAGAGGGTATAGATGGTTGTAAGCCACCATGTGGTTGCTGGGAATTGAACTCAGGACCTCTGGAAGAGCAGTCAGTGCTCTTACCCGCTGAGTCATCTCTCCATTTTTAAACTCTATTTTATTGGGGGTTTCTTAAAGCTCTGGCTGTCCTGGAATCACCCTGTAGACCAGGCTGGCCTCAAACTCAAAGATCTGCCTGTTTCTGTAGCAGGGAAAAATGAAGGCTGACAGCGGGATCTCTAGACCAGGACACCCCCTTGTGCTTATGTCAGGCCCCTAACTGCAGACTTATTACACTGTTGAGGTTGCTGTATCCTGCAGAATCCACAAGAGAAGGTATACATAAGACTTAGTTCCACCACACGAAGGAAACTAGCTATTATTTTTAAAGATTTATTTGTTTAACACCCCTAATAATAATAACTAAAGCCAAATGAGGGCTTGCCGAGTGCCGTATGGCTCTCTAATAGCTCGTGGTTTGTTATTAGCTCATTTAATAGACCCAATAAAGATTGTGTCCATTTTATAGATAAGAAAACTAAGACCCAGAGAGGTGAAGGAGGTTAGGGAAATGCCTTAGTTGATAAAATGCTTGTGACAGGAGCATGAATACCTTAGTTCTCACATGAAGGCCAGGCTTGGTGGCATGTGCACATAATCACAATGCTGGCAAGTCAGAGAGGAGGGAATCTCTGGAGCTCATTAGCTCTCAGCCTAGCCAAGCGGGTGAGCCTCGGGTTCAGGGAGAGGCCCTGTTTCAAAAACAACGAGACGGAGAGCAATCAAAGAACACACCTAAACATCAACCTGTGAGATCCATACACATGTGTGTGCGTGCACGCATGCGCACACACAGCTTCAAAAATGCTCACACACACACACCACACACACACACAGAGGAAAGGGTTTTTTTTTTGTTTTTTTTTTTGTCTTTTTGTTTTTGTTGTTGTTGTTTTTGGAGACAGGATTTGTCTGTGTAGCCTTTGCTAACCTGGGCTCGCTTTGTAGACCAGGCTGACCTCGAACTCACAGAGATCCGCCTGCCTCTGCCTCCCAGACTGCTAGGATTACAGGTGTGCGCCACCATGCCTGGCTGAGGTAAAAGTTTTTGAAGCCACATTTCCATATCTCAAAGCTAAGCATGGTTGTGGTTACTGTGAGACTCAAAATAGAGGATGAGTATAAAGATTCCCACTCCCTTCACAAACAGTTTTTAGAATAGCTGCTAGTTATGGATCGCTCACATCAGCATTGTGGTAAGGGATGTACTTTTTCTTCCATAGTTGTCCAGAGGTTGTATGAACAGACACAGAAACGGAGGCTCAAGCAGGTTAAGTGACTTGGCCAAGAAGTTGCATCCAGATTATAAAACAGGCCACCTCTGAGCTTGACAAATGGTCTGTGGTCAAGTGTTTCCTGTGCAAGTGGGAAGAGCCAACTTCAATCTGCAGCATCCCCATAAAAGCTGAGCACAGCAGCAGGTGCCTGTAACCCCAGCACCGGGGAGGCAGAGACTGAAGGATTCTGGGATGTGATGAAAGACCCTGCCCCCAAAAAAATAAAAGGGAAGAACTCTCCTGAGGAAGTTGACCTCTAGCCTGTACATGCACACACACCCTTACACGAAAACAGCTACACACACACTCTCGTTCTTAGTAAACCACAGCACCTCCTCACCTGTCAAAAGCTCCATCATTATCATCATCAGGAAACAAGCCAAAGCCACAATGAGCGACCACTTCACACCCACTAGGTTAGTTATGGTCAGAAAGCAACAGTATCAAGTGTTGGTGAGGGCAGGGAGAGAGGATGCCCTCACCCGCAGTCCGATGCTGTGAAAAGGTCAGGCTGCTATGGAGAACAGTCCTCTGAGGGTAACATACAGTGGTCACATGACTTGGCAAGACCTCTTCTAGGTAAACACAGGAGAAATTTGGACGTATGTCCAGATGACAAAGAGAAACAACTTGGTTCCACCATTTGCTGAATGGGTAAGGAGTCTATCTAGAGTGGACTGGCTATAGCACAGTAGTACACTTACGTACAGCTGGCTGCTATCCAGTCATAAAAAAATCTACAGCATCGCCAGGTGCGGTGGCCCATGCCTGTGATCCCAGCATTTGGGAGGCAGAGGCAGGCAGAGCTATTCGAGGCCAGCCTGGGCTACAAAGTCCAGGACAGCCAGGGAAAAACCCTGTCTTGAAAAACAAAAAGTCTACAACATCAATACACTCACTCACTCTACAATGTGAACGAACATTGAAAACACACTAAGAGAAAGAGTCATTCGGTGGCAAAGGGCCACATACTATATGATTCTGTTTATATGAAATGTGAAAAAAATAGGTAAACCCACAGGAACAGAAAATGGATTAGTGGGTACTTGAGCTAAGGGACAATGATGGCTAGAGGGTGGAGAAATTCCTTTTGGGCTGGTGAAAATGTTATTTTGTTTGCTTTTGTTTTTCAGTACAGGGTTTTTCTGTGTAATCCTGGCTGTCCTTGAACTTACTTTGTAGACCAGGCTGGACTCTGCTGAGACTAAAGGCATGTGCCACCACACCCAGCTGAAAATGTTCTGAACTTGGTTTTGGTGACACTGTGCAACTGGTGAACACACTGAGAGCCCTGGACGCGAACACTGGAACGTGGCGAAAGTCCGGAGTACACATTGTGCCTTCATCAGCTGTTTTGGAAGGCCCCTCGATGCCCTAAAACAACATTTCCAAACCTGGTCCTGTCCCTGCTAGGCATGAGGATGACTCAGACCAACCAGGGGATGTCCCCACCTCCTCTGTGAGCCCAGGGGGTTGCCTGTATCTCCCAGGTTCCTAGGGCATGCCCGGCCATGCTCATCTTGGCAGGCCACCGATTCAGTTGAAAAAGTTGAAGAATGGCTCGCAGCCTGCCACTCTGTGGCTTCCTCCAGCCACAGCCAAGGGCAGCTTCCTCCTGCTGTCTCCTCCCAGGCGGCTGGGAGAGTGTGTCTCAGATTTAACAACCACATGGAATCCAGCAAGTGCACCAGCGGCTGTGTCCCCGGGTTGCTGTCCAGTGCTGCAGAGACCTGTCCGTCCCACGCCCCACTTACCTAACATACGAAAAGATGATCACGTGCAAGACCCACTTAATGGTGCCGTAATTCACGCTCTGGATCCGTGTGACTTTGTTTGTCTCATACTGCAAGACATCGTTCCAGCTGCAGCAAGCCGGCATGGCGCCAGGCTCACTCTCTGTTTAGGCTGGACCTGAGCTATACCCTCTCAGGCTAGACCACAGCAAGCCCCCAGCTAGGAGCAGACAAAGGAAGCTCACTGATTCTTAGCAGGAACATGCAACTTCCAGCTCCTCCAGTGACTGCGGTGGGGGCGGGTCCTGGCAACTGCCCCAAATGTGAGCAGAATAAACAAGAACCAAGTTCTACAGGCCTGGCTGGCAGATGACCCCGCCCTGCTGCCCTCCCCCGGACGCCCGCACAAAGATGGTGTTCAGAAGATGGGCATTTTTTAAATTCCCCCTCCCCAACCCCCTTTCTTTTGCTCTTTTGGACTCATTTCATTTTCAAGAAAGGGGCCGCCCTTCAAATGTCATAAGACCCAGTGTGACTCAGACAAGGGCTGAGATACGTCCATTGCCTCAAGCCCCTCTCAGAGGCATCTGTTTTGTTTTCTTTTGTTGTTTGTTTGAGGCTGGTTCTCAAGCAGCCAGGCTGACCTCAGATTTGCCACGTACCTGAGGCTGGCCTTGAACTTCTGATCCTTCTGCCTCCGTCTCCAGAGTGTCCTGCCCCACCTCACAGAGATTACCCGTTTGTTTTCTACAACCCTTTGTTCAGTTCATGTGTACAGGTGCACGGGGTGAATGATTGCGGCCATTGTCCTTCCCCACTTCCAGCAATACTCTGGTCTGCAGATGATCAGATTCATTATGGGAGGAGAAGACTGTTTCCATGGCATCTTACCTTCTCGAGCCTCTAGATTCTTCCCTGCTCTGTGCCCTGGGAGATCACCCCATGGAGTGGTCCAGTCAGCCCAGACCAACAAGAATAGAGCTGCAGTCCAACAAAAGTAGCTCTCCTGACCGTGCGTGAGGGAGATTCAGGCAGGACATACACAATGGACAGCTTCCTGCATGGGTTGCACGGTGGACCCAGGGCCCCGGGAATACAGCCATGGTGGCCTCAAACACAGCACCTGCAGACTCCCTGTGTTTGAGGCTCTGTTCAATGGAGATGGCAGCTGCTTCTCTGCATTAGGATTTAGGATCGTCCAGGCACAAGTGGAATGTGTCTTTCTGAGAGTCTGACTTCAGATTACAATGCTGCTCCCTGAGAAAGAAAACAGTCATTTGCATGTTATCACTTGCTGGCTAGAAAGAGTCTTTTCTTTGCAGCCAGCTCAACCCACCACCGCTGTCTTTCCTGCCTGATTACAGGCCAGACAGATTTAGATATTTCTAGTCTGAGCTGACTTGTACTTTCTCATCCCTATGATGTACATCAAGGCCCCTGCCCTGGCTGGCCCCAGTTCAAGAGACTAGATGAAGGGGTTGCTGGGTGAATCTCTCAGCCCTCTCTGTTTAGATGCCTGCATAGGAAGCCCTGGCTTTGTCCTTCCGGTCTGGGAGCAGTAGGGTCTTCCCCCTGTTGCCAACCCTAGGCAGCACAGTCTTACTGCTTCCTCTCAATTCTGTCCCCACCTTTGCATCACCATTGGTTTCTATGCTCTGCCATGTCATTGCTTTTCCAACACTCTGAGGAGTCCAGTCATTTTCATCTGTAAAGAAAACAAACAGGGCCAGTGAGATGGTGAAGGTGCTTGCCACCAAACCATGACCTGTGTTCAATCCCCAAGACCCAAATAATAGAAGAGAACTAACTCCATTCAATTGTGCACACACATGCATGAATGTTCAAGCGAGTATACACATTCACTTGCGTGTGTACACACTCACACACACAAGCACACACACATGACTACACCCCACAGGTAAATGTAACAAAAAAGTTTACATAGTAGATCTACAGGCCCCCCATTAGGGCAGTAAAGTATGGTGGTTAGAACTAAAAGGCTAGCTGGCTGATTTCCAAACCTGGCTTTATATCCTAACGACTCTGTGTCTTTGGGCAGTTTCTGTTCACGACATTCATTTATTTATTAATTCCCAGGAGTGCAAGGAACTAGTGGGTATAGCAACGGATAGGTGTTCAAGTCCAAAAATGTCCATTCACTAAAGAATAGTTCAACAAGACATGGTACAACCATACAATGGAATAGTATTCACTCATAAAAATGGAATGAAGAATAGATAGATGCTGTAACTTGGATGAACCTTTGAAAATGTGAAGACACAAGAGGTTACAGCTCATGACTATGTTTATAGAAAATCCCAGAACAGGTAAATCATTCCAGTGTTTTTCTTGCACCACCCATGGATCTTCATAGTCTTTTTGCCCATCAGCGTTCTCTGTTTTTTCATCATCATACCACTTCATGAATGCTGTTGTCTCAGTTAGGGTTTCTATGGCTGTGAAGAGACAGCATGACCACAGCAACTCTTCTGTAGGAAGCACTTCACTGGGGCTGGCTCAGTTTCAGTTTAGTCCAGTGTCATGGCAGGAAGCATGGAGGCACCCAGGCAGACATGGCGGTGAAGAAGGAGGTGAGAGTTCTACATCTCTATCTACAGGCAGCAGGGAGAGAGAGAGACAGGGCCTGGCTTGAATGTTTTTATTTCTTTTCTTTTCTTTATTAATTTTTATTTTGTGGGTTTTCAAGACAGGGTTTCTCTGTGTAGCCCTGGCTGTCTAGGAACCCACTGTGTAGATCAGGCTGGCCTCAAACTCTGAATCCACCTGCCTCTGCATCTCCAGTGCTGAGATGAAAGGTGTGCTGTACAGGCTGATCTTATTGGGAAATATGCAGTCTGGTGAAGATTGGGGGAGGGGGAG